CTTTCTGTACCACATATACACATCATCCAGTTCAACCTGTCTACCCCAGACCTTTCTCTCATCATCTCCATCATCTCTGCCTCTGTGACACTTCCATTTGGATGCTACATTGTCATCTCGAGCTCAAGACTAAACTTCTAATCTTCCCTCGTCCCCTTCTTCTTGAGTATTTTAACTTAATTTAACAATATCACCATACTGAACAGGTAAAAGCTCTGCCTCTCCCTCCTTTGTTCCCATTATTTGTTGCAAGGTTGCACCACTTTCCTCTTTACAACACTGCAAAAATATGGCCTCATCCTCTATCTATGCAGGAAAAACTTTGGTTTATGCCCTAGTCGTATCCTGACTTAATGAATGCACCCTTGTCCTCTCTGATCTTCCACCATCTCATCTTGGTCCTATCAGCTCTACCCTGTCCGCTCCCAAACAAAACACAAACTTCTTGTCCTTGCATAAAAACTCTCCATGGTCTTGTGGTGGAGCTGGAGGGGTAAAGGTCCTGGGGCAGAACTTTACTGGCCCTTAGGAGTGGAGAGATGGGAGAGACAAGCTCTCTTGCAAACATCCATCCTGCCAGGGGTTAAGGCATCACCCAGAGTGCTGTTCTGCACATTACTCAAGAGTTTCCAAGCCACTCTTCTGTTCCTCTTGCTATGTCAGGGAAGAAGTAAACTAGATGCTGACTTCACATTATGTGCAAAGCAGAACTCATGGTTTGTTTTCATCAAACCAACCACAGTCAGGAGGCCAAGAACAAACCTTGGATTCCCAAAATGTGGTTTGTTTAAGGGAAACATAAAGCCAGCCTCTGATTTGTTTCATCCCCAGTGTGGAAGGAGTAGTGGAGGAGCTATTCAGGAACTTCAACTCATTCACATTAAAGCATTTTTTAAAAAAACCCACTATGGTTTAATGTGAAGTGTGAACCAGACCACAGTAAAATAGCAGCAAAAAAAAACAAACAAACCTGCATGTGTATTGAAAGAAGTTGAATATTGCATTACTCACCCTCAACAATACTGGTGCAAATACCTGCCGTACTGCCTGATAAAGCATATTTATAGGAGAATCTAGCATAGATGATACAAGAATATTGCTATGAAGGTTCTCTTCTGTGATTATATCTGGTCGTAGTTTGAAGAATACCAGCATTCTGTCTTCTGAACTGCCAGCTTCAACCTATACAATCAAGAAACACAAATATTCATATAGTCTAAAGAAGAAAACTTCTTAACCAAAGTGGTAGTATTTATAAGCCACTAAAATTATAGTACACGTAAATTACAAGTATAGTGATGTGCTTCTTGCTCATACTCTATATCAGCGGTTCCCAAACTTTAGTCGCAGAGCACTTTTCTGGAGGGAAATTTGTCACAGAGCACTATTGTTGCTCTTATGCCAAAGGCATGTATGTGCATTGTTCTTTCTAATCTCTTCACAGAGCACTGGAGATGCTTCACAGAGCAGTTTGGGGACCACTGCTGTACATTATATACAAGAATCAGTAGTATGTTGCCTGAGTGTTTTGTACAGCATATGGGAAGACTCACTTCAGGTTTGTAACTTGCTTTTTTGTTTTGCTAAAATCCCAATAGTTTTCCAATGCTTTGGAATGTAACCATAAATACTTAAGATCACTTATCAATTAAACTGCAGCTAATTTGTGTCAATGCAGCTACTTTATACCAGGGAAGATTATTTGTCTACCTAGCCCAGTCTTCAGAGTTTTAAGCAGAGGTCTTTCCCATGATCTGCAACCTGCTATTTTTTCCTCCTTTTAAAAAAAACAAAGGGGCAAGTCTTTTTGCTTAAGAATCTGGCTTGTTTTGCTGGATGTGACCATCTAGTTCAGCATTCTTTATAATAATTCCAACAAATAGTATGCAACAGGTGATCCACCTGAAGGTGGCCGTGGTCAACTTCCTTCTGCCCACCTCAGCTTATACGTATGCAATAAAAACAGTGGAAACAGATTAAAATAAGTGTACAGTCTAAGCACTACAGTCTAAGCTCCATTAATTTCAGGGGGAAATTTGTAGGCCTCCTATAAAATCCAAAATGAGAATGCACACAGCCTCAGTCTATCTATCCACAAAGGATGAGCACCTGCTCAGGCAGAGTTCTGCACACCCATTTCTCTAGTATGTTAAGTAACTGGATCATACATCACATACTGTGGTATACTTGGATGTTTTATTGCTGTAATCTAATCTCTCTCTTATATTACTGCAGTGCATTACATGTGGGGCTGCCTTTGATGAAAGTCCAGAAACTACAGCTAGTGCAGAATTCAGCAACCAGATTATTGATAGGAATCAGAAAGCCTGAGTGTATTACATCGATTCTGGCCTGACTCCGCCAGTTTCCAGGTTCAATTCAGCTGAAAAAGTAGTGAGGAAGAACTTCCTCTGTCAAATTTCCACTTGTCAGCCATACGCCCAGCGGTTAAAAGCACAGGACCCCTGGCTGGGCAGAGTGGCAGACTTGTAAGAGGCATAGTATCTCAGCATCCAAGTGCCTAGAAGCCTGGATTCACAAGGGGATCCTCAAAACATGCAAACATGCTACAAAGCTGCAATCCTCCTCCTCACCCTCAGTTCTCAGGATGCCAAAGAATCATAGAATTGCAGAGGGGGAAGGGACCACAATTCTGCATTGCCCAAGGACCCTGAGATTTAAGACTCTTGTGCTCTATCAACTGAGCTATCCCTGCTGTATAGCAGGCTGCAGTCGTAACAGTGCAACCCTAGGAAGCCGAAGCTACATTTGGCCGGGGTTTGCCCTAGATGAAGCCTCCAGAGGGACACCAATGGGGCTCCCAGCCGGTGTGTGTGTATACGCAAATGTGCAAGGAAGGGTGCCAAACTGGGTGTCTGGCCCGGCTGAAATAAAGCCTCGTTTCGCTCCTGGCTTGTTTCTTGGGAGCAAACCCAACTTTTTCAAGCCATCCTGCTCCAAGCGCCGGTGCGATCCTAAACTCGGGGGGGGGTGATCCCCCTTGGATTCCACGGGGCTCCGCCGTCGTGGCTCCACTTGCGTTGCTCGGAGCCGCAGCTGCTGCTCAGGAAGGCAAGCCCCGTACCCTGTTGGAGACCACGATCTGGTGGTCCTCCGAGTGCTGCACGCACAGCAGGAACTCGTTGCCGTCGTCCAAGAAGTTGGCCAGCTCGGGGCCGCCCGAGAGCGGGGCGAGGCTGGCGGACGACGACAGCCCGAAGTAGTTGGCGGCCGTGGCCGAAATGAAGATCTTCCTCTTGTCTCCATCGCCGTCCCCGTCCAGAGGCATGGCGGCCGACAGAAGCGCGGGAGGCTCGGGGAACCTGGGAGGAGGAGAGCTCTTCAGACGGGCATCACGTTGGGGACTCGACCCGGGATCTGGAGAAAGAGACGGGGGGGGGGGCGATTTTCCAGGCCTCGTTAGGATTGCCTCACGATAAGAAACAAGGCTATTTAGTAATATTCATAATAAAAGCTGCCCTGAAACCGGTGTCCTGTTCGCTGAGAGGCGGGGAGGTGGGGTGGGGTGGGCGATAGAGCTGCTACTACAGGGCCCAGCCTCAAGAGACAGGAGAGAAGCCGGTCTGCGAGGCCGGTCTGCGAGGCCAGGCGGCGATGCGAGGCCCGGTTGCTATGGTAACGCGGGGCAAAAATGGCGGCCGCCAACCCCCGAGGAAGCCGTCTGCGCGTGCGCCTTTCCAGGCCAGAGCAAGCGACGGCCGCTTTCCAGAACGCGAGATCGGCAATCGCCAGGCAGGCGGCTCTCCCCCGATTCGGTTCTGCGCGCCACGTGAAATACGAAAGCAAGCGCGGCTCGGATCGCCCAGGGCTAGTGTAGCAAGCTTCCCGTTTGCTACTCCGGAAACAGCCCGAGGGAACTGCTGGGTTGGCGTTGGTTTTTATTTACTTATGTTAAACAACAGTTTAACTGAATGGATTGTTTTCTCTTAAAAAGTTTTTTAAAAACAAACAATTGTACAGTACTGCGAGTTTGCATCATTGAATGAGTAACCAACATGCTGTTTCCTGAACAACATAAACTCTTTAGGCAACTAAGTTGCAATTGTTAACTCGCAGAGGTTTATGAATGGCAGGCAACCAGGATGAAGCACACGACCCTCTCTCCGCTTATGGAGAGGACCATCACTGATTGTTATGCTGTGGTGAAGCCCCGAACTCTGCCTAATCATATTGGGAGTCTAGTTGGTGGTAGTCCCGAAAGTGGCCTTTTCAGGTGCAAGGCAGAGCTGGGCTGGCTCAGGAGCCACCGGATTGTGAGGTGGACTTTGGCGATGTGGCATCCTGAGCGAGGACAAAATTCCCCCCCCCCCCAATATTTCTTATGTGAACTGTACTGTAATTCCTTTTGGTACCGTTTGCTTTTTGGTACAGTTTCCCCCACTGCATGTGGGGGAACTGCCCGCAGGACCCTCAATCCGGCGCTGCTAAGGCTAAGGAAAAAAACGAAAACAAGCCACCCCATACCTCACTTTCTACCCTGACCAGCAGGAGCCGGCTGGGCTTCAGATGCTGCTTCCCCCTAGAGACCTTGGGGCAGAGTGAAGCTTGCCTGCAAGCTTATTAATGATGACATAAGCCAGCCTTTGCCAGCCTCTTTGGACTACAACTCCCATCAGCCCCCGTCCCGCAGTCAGGCTTATGGGAGTTGTAGTCCAAAGCGACCAGAGAGCGGGCTCGCTTCCCCAGATGCGATGCCCTGACGCCATTTCCTTGGGGTGTAACACCCCCTCGCCTTGACCTCCACTGGGCTTGCTCCTAAGTAAACATGCCTACGGCTAGCGGTGTTGCTTAACTAAGGGGGTGTGTGGGGCTCGAGTCCTTTAAAAAAAACACCACACACACGCAATTTTATTTTTATAATATTATAGCGGGAGAGGGGAGGTGGGCGAAGCGCACGCTTATTGTCGGCTCACAACGCCCCGCTGTCCCCTCAGCGGCCCTGAGGCGGGCTGCGTCACGACCTTACCCCCCCAGGCGGGGCGGGGCCAGCGCGTTGGCTCCGCCCCCGTCTATTAGCTCCGCCCGGCGACGGGGGCAGGCTGGACGTGCCTTCGCTGCGAGGAGCGCGCGCGCGCGCGCGTTCGAGACGCGCCTCTGTCACTTCCTGCTCCCGCCTCTCCGGGGCGGCGCGGCGCGTCTCCTCCTCCTCCTCTTCCGCTCTTTACCGGCGTTGCCGCCGCCGCCGCCGCCGCTTCTCCCTCAGGAAAGCTCTTTCTTTCGCTTCCCCCCCATATTCGCCCCATCCCACACCTGAATCTACTAGGCGCGGCGGCGGCGGCGGCGGCGGCGACGAGCTGAGGGGAAGGAAGGCAAGAGCCGCGACGGCACCGGCAGCTTCTCCGCCGCCTCCTCCGCCTCCTCCTCCTCCTCAGCCGCGAGGGAAGGAAGAGGCGGCGGCTCCCTCCCACTTTCCGAGGGGCCCCGCAGCCCTCCGCCTCCGCGCCCCCGTCCGGGGCGAACCGAGGGAGATGCCCGTGAAGAAGAAGCGCAAATCCTCGGGGCAGGCGGGGGACGAGACGGGCCTCAAGAAGTGCAAAATCAGCAGGTACCAACAGCCACCGCGGCGGCGGGGGGGGGCAGGGGGGGACCGAGCGGCTTCCCTTTCCCCCTCCTCACCGTTGCCTTGGTGACACAAGGCGGGAGAGGGTCTTTTGTGATACCAGAAAGGCAGCCTTTAGCGGGGGGTTCCCCTCCCCTCTTGCATTTGCACCCAGGGGTGCCAAATTAAATATTTGGGGGGGCAGGTAAGCCCCTTCCCACATAAATCACATGATGAGGCACATGAATGCTGTTTGAATGGCAATGGCCTACAATTTGGGGTGGCGTTCCCCTCAAATATTTTATGGAGGGGGCTGAAGGGACCTCGGGTCCCTAGTTGGCTCCTATGTTTGCACCTCACCTTTTCTGACACATATGCCAGGCTGTACCCTATCCTTGTGCGAAGTGAAGCTTCAATAACTTATTGCAGGTTATGCATATCCTTTCATTTTTCACCCTTATGTTTTAACTCAGCCCCACCCTGAGCAAAACTTGGTATGTTTCTTGGGGCACAGGCATCCTTCGCATACACACATGCGCGCATGCACACACACACACACTCCTTCCCGTGTGTACCACTGAAGCAGTGCTGCGAACGTGCAGCTGTAGGTCTTCTATCAAGCAATGCATAATGCTGCAGTAGGCCTTTGTCAAAAAGTTGCGCCTGCTTGTCTTGCGCTGGTTCTGAACAGAAACACCAACAGCCTTTCTTTGCACCACCAGCCAGGCCCTATCTCATGTATGGACTTGATTCACTTTGTGTCCCCAGCCTGTAGATCTTGAATTGGCATTGCCTCATCGGAAGCCAGCTAATGCAGAGCCAGGCCATTCCTCCATGTAGCTTAGTATTGTCTACCAAGACCGGCAGCAGATCTCCATGGTTTTGAATGGGCATTTCCCAACCTTGTTCGATGACGCCAGTGGTTTAATGTGGGACGCTATGTGTGCAAAATATGTGCTGTAGTTCTTCCTCTCTAAGCTCTTGCCAAGCTGTGGCATAACTGGGTCATGTTGTGCTGATTTATGATGTCAGACTTTGACAGCATCTCTGAAGAGAGGAGGTTCCCCACCTACTATTTCCAACTTCCTCCATGCAGCAGAATGAATCACTTGATGCTTTTATAGTGGTGTGTTCATGTTTATATAGTATTTTCAGAGTAACAGGATAGGTCTCTGCTCCAAGGTGCATACGTTCACTTCTCCTGTGAGACCATTTCCCTGTGACAGAAATGCCTGTGTTCTTTATCTGTCCAGAGATAATCAACTCAATCCCTAAAGTTCTATCTACTTATCCTCTGCATTTCACATATGCTAATTCTATACAGCAGAAAGATGCAACCACCACTGCAGGAGCGCACTCTGACTTCCAAAGACCTCACATTTGGCTTCCACCATAGCATCTATACCAAGGTCTCACCCATCTCTCAACCGCTTTCTCTAATGTAAACTAAGATTCAGGGAAACAGTTCTTCAGATTACCCTCCAGAGTTATTTCTCAGCACCCTTAACAAGCTGCACTTCCCAGGATTCTCCGTTACTGCTGAAGTAGTATACAAGTGCTCTAAAATTATGGTGTATATGTGACCTCCAAGGAAGCGCTTAATGCAACCTTTATTGCTACCTTATTTTGCATGCTACTCTTATTTGAACAGTAGCAGTCAGTTGGGCAACATGGACAGGGCAGAGCAGTGTTGGTCATGTGCCTTCCCAACACCAATGATTGCTGCTGGTCCCTGAGATGAGTGGGAAGCACAGCACAGTGTGGGTATGCTTGCAGGAGCACTGGATTGGCTTCACAGCATGCTGAGCTCCCTAGGCCTCTTCCTCTCAGGAACTGGCAATGACAGTTCTGGGAAGGCACATGAACAACCCTCCCCTCCCTGCACCGCCCCATCAACCTGTACTGTATTTTGCACTGCTTTGAGAAACATTGATTTAGTGGCTTTTATGTCGGACAAAGAACAACTGTTTGTTCCATAAATTAGGGTAACAATTCTGCTTATGCTACCAAACTCTAGATATTCTCATATATCTAGTATAAAATCTGTCTGGGTGTTAGGCCATGAGTTTCTCATGGCCATGTCCTACACATTGGAAAAGCATGTTTTGTTTTGTGTGTGGTAAGAACCTGTGTTATCGACAAAAGATACTTGCCATTAGATTTCTTTTTACACAAATAGCCAAATCTGTTGCTGAGTGCAAGGTGAACGACCATTACACCATTGTTCTACATTCAGACTATTGGATTTTAATTTCCTGGAAGCAATTTTTTATTTACTTTTACTAAATATGCACCAATGTAATATAATTAAATATGCTGGTATTGTAGATGGAAGCAGTGGCGGAAATATTCAATCAATTCTTTTATTGGCATAAAAAAGTGCATTATATACATGGATCAGAACACAACACAGTTAATGAAACATGGTAGGAGATACCTTAGGATAAAACTGTCCAGACATCATGAGGTACGAAGATGGCTCTTAGGATCTATGGTGACGTAATTTCATAGTGTCACTCAAAAATCTTGCCACATTCCAGATAGCAGAAATATTTAGGATGATGCATTGAAATGCATTTGGGATAGCCAGGTTGCAACCTTCGTCTCTTGCCTGCCCCCCCAGCTCAGATTCAGCCATCCCCTTCACGTTCTGTCATCTGTCTTCCCTTCTAGCTTGCAGCAGGACAGATTTCTTAAATAAGAGGAAGGAGAAAATGGGCAATGAGTGGAGTGAGCAGTGGCTGCAGCAGAGCAAACTTTATATAGTTCTTTCAGTGTCCACAGCATTTTAGAGTACAATAAAGCAAATCCTTGCCCAGAGGAGCTTACCATCTGACATTCAACGTGAGGGATACTAACAGAGCAGCAAGAGGAAAGTGGAGACAGAGGCAAATAGTGAAGCAATTTGGGGGAGCTTTAGCTACATATGTGTTGGCTGTTAGTGTATGAGTTTCTGACAATCCAGTTACCCAGGTTGCCATCTGTCATACGCAGAAGTCAACATGATTCTAAAGGCATCTGTGCAGATATCATATGCACAAAACTGGCAACACCATGAATAGTAAATTCTTGCACTTTGCTTTTCTGTACTTGAAGCTATGTTTAATTAGCTATTCAGGAACAGAATGGATTAGATGCTTCACTTTAAACATCAAATTGTCAAGTGCTTGTTAGCAGCAACAGTTGAGTGAACTGCAGCACTGTTATGACTTGCATTAAAATACTCACTTCATGGGGTATGAGTGTTCAGCGGCACCTGGGATTCAGACTTTCAGTTAAACCTGAAACTTTGTTTTCAGATGAAACTGCTAGTCACAGATACCATTATTACATGACATGTAAAAACCATTGGCTCTTAGCTGCCATGTACAGTTGAGAAGGCATATGTTTTTAAGGCTGAAAACTAGAAAACAGGTCCCTTTGCATTTAGTAGGGCATACAGTCAAGGTAACATAATTAAGACGAAACCATTACACCAATTTTATTCTGTTCCCTGCCTTTTGGATAAGGTTTCAAGCTGCCTACAAAAGACCTGAAACATTAAAAACAGCACTCAAGGCACCATAACATAATATAAAGACAGGGATATAAAGTCATCCTGAACTCATTCAGTTGCCAGTCCACCACCAAATGAAACAAGTAACTTGCTTTCCTGAGTGAATGGATAGTAAAAGCTAGAGTCCCCTTCAGGTTGTAACAGATTTCACACAGTTTGAGGTTCTAGTAAGTAGCCAGTCCATTTCTGTGGCCAAAGAACTTCATTATGTCAAATAGGCTAGGTTCAGAACAACAGAGGGTTTAATTTTAGCGATTGCTGAGAATATATTTTGCATAGTCCATCAACATTAATTTACATCTATGATCACTGCTTTTTTTAAAAAAAATAATTTTTATTAACCGACCAATCAAATCAAATCACATCACATAAATTCCGAATTACAAAGCCGAATTTTAAATTTTGTTGAGGGGACCCATATTTCAAGATCCGAAGGGGAATTCTGATCATCTTCTTGCTACTGCGTTAATGTCCAAATCAGTCCAAACAAAGTTCATAATTCTATCCAGTCTTATCTTGCTGTTTCCACATCTCATCTTGTTCGTATATTTTCTCTTTTTTTTTATGATCTCTTCTGATAATCTCCTTAAGCCGATAAACACCAATAATAATCCTGTGTGAATTTTTCTGTTCATCCAATCCTCAAATCGAGATGGTTTCCATATATCATCGCATTCATAGATAACATCGCTCTTTCCATCATTAATTACAGAACTGTCGTTCTTAAGTCCCTCTGAGGAGTTTCACCCACAATATAAAAACAGCTCTATTTCTCTATTTCTCCTCCCAGACTTAAGTCCTCCGACAGAACTTCCCAATATGGCGACGGTATTTTTAACTGCGTCATTCCAAAGCCCTTATACGTTCCACGCTCTTCTTAAAGCATGCTTTGGTTAGAAAGTTTATCTCCACACAGACATAAATCCACAGCTTAAGTCCTTCAAACTACATTTCTGACTTGTGAGGGGGGGGGATTCTTGTTTAATCACATAGAGGAAAGAAAGGAAAGTTTTTTTTCCCTCCCCCATCCAGTCCTTTTGCCATACCGAGTCTTGGTGTATCTTCATCTGGTTAATTCTTGTTCCTCTGACTCGTCTTATTTATCAGAGATCTCTTCTGTTAGCAGTCTTTACTCCCCCTCCTTCCTTGAAATATGTGCATTCGCTTCCTCCTAATTGTTTCTTTTGAAGTTCTTGCAGCTAGTGGCGCGGATCAGAGACAGCGTCCAGGAGCGCCGAGATCCCACAGGAGGGCATTCTGCCTAGTGCCCCCATCCCCACAAATTTGGAGGTGGTATAGGGCACAGCAGGCAAGGGCAGCCCCCCCCCCCAATCCTGGGGGGGTAGGGAGGCTATTTACTCCCATCACAGCCTCCAAATTACCTTGTGTGGGTCGGAGAGATGTTATTGTCAGCCATCTTCTGATGCGCCCCTAGTGGCCCCTCTACATCTATGATCACTGCTATGTCAGGCCAGAAAGTAATAGAAAATGCTTGTCCGAGGGCAGAGCTTTTTCCTCGATTTCCCATGGATCATTTTGTTTATCCTTTGTTCTACAATTAAACTAGTATTAGTGCCTGTACTTGCAAGCAATGTTGTGCATAACAGTTAGTAGCCATGATAGGGATGCAGATCCCCATATGCTTCAGAAGGCACATCCAGTAGTTTGCCTAGAGGAGATGCACATCAACATATGCATCAGTTATGGTTACTTCCAAATGCAGAGCTCCTTTGCTCAGCGGTGTATCTGAATGGCAGTGCAGTTTTCCAAGTTTTCTAAGATACTTAGTTATTTTAACTATTAAGTGCACTTTGTGAGGACCTAAATTATTTCTGATTTCAAACATATAGTGGCCCAGTTTGTGTGCTGCCTAAAACTATAGTTTAAAACAAACTGGTTTAATGTGAATGAGCAGCATGTTGGTGCACACTGTTCAAAAGTTCCCATGTTGCTCCTGCTGCTGCCACACCACAAACAAAATAAGCCAGAGATTGGCTTGTTGTGTTATCCAAACCCCAGCTTGTGATTTCTCTCCAAGCAAGCATTTAACCAAGGTTTGTTCTTTTTCATGGTTTAGTTGGAGAGAAACAAACCCTGAGCCTGAGTTTTGATGACTTGACAAGCCAGACTCTGCAGCGGGATAGGAATGAAGCTGGAATCTTTGAACAGCCTGCATTGTATTGCTGTTTGTTTCTTTGAAATGTGGAATACTTACGTGTTTACTTAAAGAAGAAGCAAGGAATACTCTCAATCTGACATTCTGAAACTGTAAACACTCTGAAACTTTTAAAAATCAGCAAGTCATGATCAAACAGTACACATTCATTTTGGGTATACTTTGGGGTGGTTGTTGGTTTTTTTTTTTTTTTTAAAGTGTGCCTGTTTTTAATAACTTGCTATTGGGAATTTTCCCAAGAAGTGATATTTACTGTAGGTTTATCTTATGTCTTCATAAGCTACTGCAGGTCTCAAGCTTCTAGTAAAGTGATAAGTGGGGAGGAGCATTTTTCAAGCAAGAAGTGCCTGGCTTGGTTTTATGAATATGCAGGTATGAAGCTGGTACATTTCTAAATTCTAGTTTTTGCTTCGGTTATTTAGTAATAATTGATAGTTGTTTCTTTCCTCCTCAAAATAACAATTTCACTTACACGTACTTAAGCATAATAGGGTGGGGGGCATTTGTCTACAGTGTCCAATTTTTTAAAACCACTTGAAGCTTGCAAGACAGCCTTGCAAAAAATTACTGAAGGAATGATTGCTTACCTTAACATTGTTTGCCTGTCCCTTCTGCCCAAAAGTCCATGAGGTTCACTGCTGGCACTTGTCAGTCAACAGTAAAAGGCCATTCTTATCTCAGGCTCTGTTTTTGTTTCACTCATAAACAACTACTGACCCTTAAGGAAATACTGAAGCATCAAGAATTTGGAGCCTCTTGAGAAGAACACCAGTTTGGGATGATTATATCTCACTCTAAACTGCAGAATTATGTTTTAATGTGTCTTTGTAAGTGAATGAGAGCCTGTTTTGTGTAATCAGATACGCTGCACTAACCACTTAGCTTGTTTAAACCTCTGTGCTTTCACAGAAAAGGGGTTAATCTGAGACTGAACTGAAAGCATTGAAGAGAGTCCCTTGAATAATTGCCTCTGTTTGTTCAGAACTGTAAACAGTGGCATGACATTCCCTCAGGCATACTGAGGTGGTTGAAATTTGGCTATCTCACTCCGAACACACAGTGAACTGAGTTGATGAACTGGAGGACATGCTTCTCAGTTAGGACTCTTGGTTCAGGATAGTAGTCCTAAACCAAATATATCCAACAATGTATTGCTTAAATTGGTCTTGTGAAATTTGCAGCCGTGTGTCCAGTGGCATTGTTCTAGATCCAGAAACCCCAGGTGTCTGAACAACTGAAAAACAACGTGGGTTAGGGGCAATTTATAGTAGATAACTGGCACAAAGGCAGGGAGTGCTTAACCCTTCTCGTGTCTGTTAATATCTCTGTCCAATCCAAATATGGATGTGCTGCCAAGCATTTTGTTTGATCAGAAGTAAGACTAGTATGATATTTGTATGGCATGTGTTAGCTTGATTTCTTTTGTTTTGAAGGTGATGATGAAGTGGTAGGGCCAGAAGGAATGGAGAAATTCTGTGAGGACATTGGCGTTGAACCTGAAAATGTAAGTCTTGTCCCTAAAGACCAATATGCTATTTCCTGCGAATCATTAGACTCAGATTTTCAAGTCTTCCTCCTCCTCCCCAACAAATGTCTTCTTCGCTTGCATTGTGCATTAATTTTACTGGTGGAAATTGATGTGCTTAACCCTCCCTATTCACCAGTTCTCCAATACACATGCCTCTTCATCAGATTTCTATGCTGCCTTTCCATAAAATGATGTTTACAGTGACTCACAGTAGCTGTGCAAGCAGCTACAAAATATCGAAGTAGACCAAAAATATTTATAACTCTCTCTGTATATATATATATATATATATATATATATATATATGTACTGAACACACCAAATTCTTAATAGAAATGGTTGTTTAATAAATAACAATATCTAGGGATCTGTAATTTTTGCTGGCCTTGGTACCCAAACCAGAGATTGTGGTCACCAGATTTCTCTTCCCTCCCATTTCAATAAATCCTCCCCACCACCCTTTCTGTACAAGAGGAAGGTGAGGAGTCTGTTGTTAGTTGAGTGCCTCCATGCATCTACAGCCAAGCCAGCCTTCTACCAGCCTTTCCTATAGAAAAAGCCAGGAAGGAGCAGACCAGCTTGGGTGCTCAGAGGAGTGTTACACCAGACAGCTCCTCAGTTAAGCAGCCAAACAACCCCAGTTTACCTCGCAATCTTGGATCACCCCGTAACTGCTAGGCTGATATACACTGTATTTGTTGTTGTTTTTTTAAATAATATTTATCACTTTTCCAACAATTTAAACACACACAAAAAATAAAAAGAAAAAAGAACAATACAATGCAGTACAAAAACACTACATAACACCTTAAACTAACAAAACAAAACAAAAACAATTTAAAAGACATCAAACAATTTCAATATCTTATCTTTCATTCACTTATTTCAATGACCTCCTCACACCTCCCCTTTTGTATTCCACTTCTGTTGATTGTTTCAGCAATTCCTTTCCATCTTCCTCTGCTTTCTATCCTTTAATTATCTTAACAAATTCTAACCTTATTTTTCCCTTTAATACTCTATTGATCTATTTATACTTAATTCCTTATAACATTTCTACTAAAGCCATATAACTTCATTCCAACATTTTTCTAACATTCATTAATTTTACAATATTTCTGTAAATAGTCTTTAAACTTTTTCCAGTCTTCTTCCACCGACTCTTCTCCCTGGTCTCAGATTCTGCCAGTCATTTCCGCCAATTCCATATAGTCCATCAGATATACAATGTATTTGCACACCCCTCCACAGCTTCAAATTTTACAGGAAGTCTGGTCACCTGTCTCCTTGTTCACAAGGCAGTGGCACAGTTGCCGTGATGACCAGAAATATTGAGACCTGACATTACAACAATGTTCACCTTTAGATAACAGTTACTTTGTATCAGAAAACTCAAGAATAGCAATTGGTTCATTTTCTTACATATGAAACTATATATTGCAATAACTACCTAACAAAATGGTTTTGCATTGCCTCTACAAACACAGGTTTGGTTATGTCTTTCCCAAGATAACACCACAAAACTTACGGGGAAAAGTCTTCTACAGTTGAGCTAATTTTAAATCACATCTTCATTTTGAATCCTTATGGATTCGTATTGCTTTTCAGAGAAAATAAACCAGGTGTTAAATAGATAGTGTTTTTCTTGTAAACATATGCTATTAAATTATTATTGGAGCATCTTTCCAGATGTTGGTCTGAAGCTACTTACATTAAAATTACAAAATATCATCAGTACAACAAACATAAAACTATAAGAATCCCCCCCAGAACAACCAGTCAGTCAGACAATTAAAATCAATAGCAAAAAATAGTCAGGATGCGAAACAACCATCATCAATATATTTCTGTCCTGATTGGTCTACATTGGTACCTGCGGGACAGAACAGTATGCCTGTCAGGAGAGGTATGTCATTAAGACCTTCCAAAAGGCTTGAAGCATAGGAGCCTGCCATAGATCCGCTGGCAGGAAGTTCCAAAACCATGGAACAACCATGGAAAAGGCTCTCTCCCTCATGGCGCCCAACCTTGTTGATGTAGGAAATGAACACATGAAGAGGGCCTCCATTATAGATCTCCATGTGCAGCAGGCAGAAATAGGTGCAGGCAGTCCATCAGATAGCTTGAATTTTAATTTCTCCTTTTTCCCATTCCCATACAGATTATTATGCTAGTTTTAGCCTGGAAACTGGAGGCTGAAAGCATGGGATTTTTTACAAAGGAAGAATGGTTAAAGGGGATGACCTCATTACAGTAAGCTTTTTATATTTGAAATCATCTTCATGCATGGCTGAAAGTGCAAACTTATTTTACAGAACCTTAGCAAAGAGCACAACAGATGGAATGTTGGGCACTATTATCAAGAGGGCTTTTGGCTTTGACCTGGAAAGGTCCTGTCACTTTCTGGTGCTCCTAACCTAAAGACCACTGAACTTTGTGTTGAACTCTACTTTCAAAAAAATATCAGAAAAGCAAGTACTCCTATGAATTATTGCTGTGTGATTTATACAGTTGTAAAAAAAAATCAACTTACAGTCTGTTTGATGCATAATAATATTTCTCCTATTTTATCTGGCTGGTACTGATAGGAGTTATAGTCCAAAACAGCTGAAGAGCACCACATTGGGGAAAGCTGAACTAGAGTAATAATGTTCTCCCCACTGAAGTCCTAGGTCAATTGGTGGTTTGAGCAGGCATCTTTTTGGCAGCCAAGAGGGAAGCAAGCTCACTGCAGCTATTTCTTCACTGGTCAGTGAGGCCAGACAGGGTAGACAGGGTACAACCTTCCAGTATTCCTTGTTCCGAGAATGTCCTTTGAACCTCTGTTTGTATATTCTCTGTAGAAACAGCCCTAATCCTGGTAGTCTAAATGCTTTTCTACTATTTTGTTAAAAGCGTGCATTGAAAAAGTGTATTTTATATACTTCTGTCTCCCCTCCCCCCAAAAAAGAATGTTTGGCATGTAATTTTTTAATCTTTTATTTTAAGATGTGACTGCACAGAAAAGCTGCAGAGTAAATTTGATTTTTTGCGCTCGCAACTGAATGATATTTCAACATTTAAGAATATCTACAGATATGCCTTCGATTTTGCAAGGGTAAGTGCATCTTCTCCTTATAAAAACATGCAAGGAATTTGCCATTTATATCTGAGTACTGCCTTTTTTTAAAATCTCTTTAGGATAAAGACCAGAGAAGTCTGGATATTGACACTGCAAAATCTATGTTAGCCCTTCTACTTGGAAGAACGTGGCCTCTGTTTTCAGTATTTTACCAATACTTGGAGGTAAGCACACATTAAAAAAAAAAAAGGTGTTGCATATTTTGATTTGCCTTGTGAATAGGTCTACAAAAACACCGTAAATAACAACAAAAACAAAATCTCAACTGATCTTCAGTTTATGAATGTGTACCTTCTTGGTCTCACTATAGGCAATCCAGTGAGGCAGTTTAAGGCTTTTTTCATTTCCTCTTTGCTTTTCGAATGGGAGAGAGTGCCTCTATTTCTATACGCACTCAGTTCCTTAGTTCCATTTCTATACTGACCATCAACCAAATTTCATCTGCTGAGTGGTTATGTCCACCCTACCTTCATATTTCACAAGAAATGTTTGGGTTCCTACATATGTTTCAACCCACTAGAAACAAAATATTTTATGATTGTTGGCACTACTTTAGAATGGACAAGCAGAATTAGATTTGCATGACATCACCACTAGGTGGGTCTTGTGGATAAGATGTTGGAACTTCCTGTGCTTTCTATATCAACTTCAGCTCCTGGTGCTTATGCATATCAACCCCATTGCCTTTCTGCGCCACATGATGTCATTTGCTACCAGCTGCCCTTTTCCATGTTTGCATGCCTTCCTTTGAGCCTTGCACAACATTGCTCCCCATTCCCAGCAATAAATCTTCAAGGCGGCTCCTCCACCCCACACCTGCTTCTTCCTCAAACATTTCCTCAGCTACTGTAATAACTTGGCTTGTGCAAAGAAAACTGAACACATTATTGTTCCTAAATGCAACACATTGCGGGCTGAGACCTGATGTCTTATTTTTCTGCAGCAGTCAAAATACAGAGTAATTAACAAAGATCAGTGGTACAATGTGTTAGAATTCAGCAGAACTGTCCATGCAGATCTTAGCAACTATGATGAAGATGGGGCATGTGAGTATTCCCATTTCAATTAAAATACTCTTAAGTGATACTTTAATCCCCGCAGATTTATCTCTCAATCTCAGGCACTGAAATCAGGAAATAAAAATCCCTCTGCCTTTTCTTTGGATATTCTCTCTAAATAGGCAGAGTTATCCTCTCTGAAGAGCAGGCAGAGGAATCTTTTATCCCCAGTGTAAGCACTAAGCAGTGCTAAGATTGAAGGGACTGTCCCCTGCCTCCTCTTTAAAGGGCGGGATCCTCCCCCCAACCTACCGCTGGAGAGCAGGTGAGTGGGAATGCTGCCTTTTACTTTGATCCTTCTGTGCAAATGAAAGGCAGGATTTTCTCCCAGTCCCGCCGCAATACTGGAATGGGTAAGGCTGGAAGTGCTGCATGTGTTACATGCATCTCTGCATATTTGTGTGAGTGTATGTGTGAGTATATGTGAGGTGGTATATGCCTATGTCCCTATATATAGGGACGTGGGTGGCACTGTGGGTTAAACCACAGAGCCTAGGACTTGCTGATCAGAAGGTCAGCGGTTCGAATCCCCGCAACGGGGTGAGCTCCCATTGCTTGGTTCCTGCTCCTGCCACCCTAGCACTTCGAAAGCATGTCAAAGTGCAAGTAGATAAATAGGTATCGCTCCAGTGGGAAGGTAAACGGCGTTTCCGTGCGCTGCTCTCATTTGCCAGAAGCAGTTTAGTCATGACCTGGAAGCTGTACACCGGCTCCCTCGGCCAATAAAGCGAGATGAGCGCCGCAACCCCAGAGTCGGCCACGACTGGACCTAATGGTCATGGGTCCCTTTACCCTTTACCTATATTCCTAGCGAATTTGGGTGCTGCATACGTGAGAGTAGTGTAGTATGTGCACACATACATTAACCTCCCCACTGCTGAGATGTGACCCTCAGGGATGATTGAAACAGGTTAGCCACTCCTGAGCTAGAGCTACATGTTAAGATGATTTAAGACTTAATTCCTTCTGTCTTTGTTATGAGTCAACTAAAACGCAACATGTTATAACTGGCATTATTTCTTCTGCAGGGCCTGTTCTTCTTGATGAATTTGTGGAGTGGCAAAAGGTTCGCCAAGCATCATAGCAAGAGCAGCTTTGAAGAAGGTGCTGGATCTTGTGATGTTGCAAAAACTGAGTCAAAACCAAGGGTTGCGTTCACATCCTTATGAACTTTAGTCATTTTTTTTCCTTTTATTTTTAAAGGAAGCCTTGTTACATGTGAAATGGGCATTGAACCACACCTCTTCTGAGACTGAAAATTGGAGGGTTTCGTCTTAAGTTTCTAGCATTTCAGAACAATAAAGATTCAGATTTGTAACAGTCTTAAAAGTGAAGGATATCCCTTGAATATGACTGTGGTTTCCATGTTCAAAACCAAAACATTGTAGAGTGCATCAGAAGTATCTTGTATGAGTGTTTGAATCCTGGAGATGTGTTTAAAATTGTAGTTGTAAAGGAATCTGATATGGTAGGTCGCTGATGAAATGATTGTTTTTAGAAAGAAATGTTAACGTCAAAGCTTTGGCTGGTGTTTTGCCAACACCCCCCATCGCTTGTGCCATAGTTTACAGCTTCATATGGAGACATGGCCTTAAAAGATTTTTTTCTGCAGTTCCCAACATTTTGTCTTCTAATGAAACATTCATAATTGTCTTAATTATGAATTAAGTTAAAAGGTACTAAAAGGATGGTGATGTCTGTAGCATCTGTAGGACCTTGAAAACATTAAACTGTGTTTGATTAGAAATTGGCCTAAATATTTAAAAGGAAAAAAAAGCAGCCCTAGGAAGGTAGAGCTAGAACTTTAATGAAAACACTGCAGATGATCCTCCTTCCTCTTCATCTCCTAATGTGGGACCTTTGGTTTTATTACCTGATTTCATGTGTCTACTTAGCCTGAACTAAGAAAAGTTGCAGTATCCTCGTGTTTCATTGCCATTTAGCAAGAACGGGAAAAGGCACAGTTGTGTGTGCTGAGTTGCATTGAAACTCAGGCATGTGCGGAAAGCTGAACTCAGCCTATTTCTCTTGTTTATTATTTGAGCACCATCATAACTGCCATAACATTCAAATTCTACTTCCATATATCTTGAGACAGAGAGATTGGCTGTTTAGTCTGTCAAACATAGGAATTCCCAAGGCCTATTTTGTAATAAATAAATGTATGGGGTGAAATGGCAACAAGTTGGCATGGTGAATGTTAAAGAAATCATTTGCATCCCTTCTTCCACTCAGGATGCTATTTCTGTTTACATCATCATCCTTTTAGCAAATCTAGGTTAACTTTATAAATTACCCCCATAGCTTACCATGCTAGGTGAGACATGGTAGTATTTGGCTCAGGATAATGAGAAATGTGTTGTGTGCACTGTAAGCAAGTTCAGGTAGTACAAGATATCCACAATGTTTTGTCCAGACAAGATGTTGCTTTGGTGCATTTCCCCCCTTCTGATCATAGAGTCCTTAAGTATCTGTTTTGGGTATTCAATAGAAAAGGGCTATTTCTTTTGCAGCTCTGCCAGCTGTTCAGGTGTATGTGACCCAAGTTAGTCATTGGAATTGTTTTGCGTCATCTTATAGGGATGGCCTTACACTGTGTTATTTTGCTTTTCTGTAATTCTGCACAGGAAAAAGGAGATTGGAGTGAGAGGAAGCATCTAACACTTCAAACTTGCTGCTCTTACTTCATTGCTTGTGTTAATGTGTATGCCATTACATTTTAGATAACTTTGGGAGAGTTCTTAGCCTCATATGAACATGGTCTGTACCAGTTTTTGTTTTTGTATTGACATAGCCACTTATTAATATTTGATGCCATACCATCCTAAGTCTGCAGTCTTAAGCATATTTCACCTGGGAGCGAGTCCCATTGAACTTGGCGGTTCTGGGCTGCAAGTTTGTGCATCAAAAGAACACTGTTGGACTGTACAAGATGGCTATTTGATTACCTCCAGAGTGCCAGTGGGCAGAAGAAAATGCATTATCAGATTAATAGTTTGGATATGAAAAATGCTGCAGTGTGTCTAAATGAGACATGAGATGTTTTCTTTAAGAGATTTCTTTTGCAAAGTGCTATTTACTGTTCCAAACCCAAATCCTCGGTAAAATCTTTTTTGGTGTTTCCCAGGACAGGCTATGATTTAGGATGATGTCTTTCCCAAAAGAGGGCAATGCAGGCTTTAAAAGAAGTACAGCCACGAGGGAGGCCTGTCACAGTTGGCGCTGGACTGGCCTCTGGTATGGGCACTTTCTCGCGCTCTGATACCAATGGGATGGAGCAGCTTGAAATTGCATCTAGTGATAAGGCACGGGTCGCCACAAGGTCATTCTCTTCCCCTGGTTTTTTGCCATGGTGCTTCCCCTCCAACATGTCCCCATCCTAATTACGTCTACCAGTGATATGCACAATCTCTTGGGGATTAAACCCCGAAGAAAATGGGGCAGACCTCAGAGCAAGCATGCATAGGATTGAACCATCAAGTCATCCTTATTGGCATCCAGTCCTTTGTGTTGTGCTTTAGAAAACCTTTCTCTCAGGTTTTTAAAGTCTCAAGATACGAATCAGGAAAGCGCAACTATGTTTCTAATGTAAACAAAACCATCTTTTAATTCAAGTGATTAATTTTTTTAAAAAAAAACTAGCCCAAAGGAGCTGGTATTAACATGGTAAATCGCCAGACTGTTGTTTCCACCATTGCCAGTGTCTTTACTTAATGTGAAGGTATCAACTTGCTGTGTATGACTTGTATCTCTGAGGTTTTATCACTATTCTTATAATAAAACCATGTTTCAGGGATTTAGACCTTGTTTTTTGTGAGTGGTTTTTAAAATACCAGTATACTATTAAAATGATAATGGGTGTATGTTACATGTTAAGAGTCATTTCTGCAAGAAGATAGAATTTCGCTGAGAGAAGCTTTTCCATATTGCTTTTTTTTTTTTTAAGTAAAGACAGAAAGAAAAGTATTCAGTGTTCAGTTATCAGACACTAATTAAAACTGGAATACTTCCAAATACTGTGGTAGCATAAGAAGGATTGATTTGTAACACAAGAAAAATTTTAACTAAAACTAATTTTAAAGGGGAGCTCAACATATGCAAACTCCAGGCCTTTTTTGGGAGGGGGAGGATACTTATACAACAGGTTCTAAAGTCAATCATGCATGTTAACTATTTACAGTGGAAAATTATGGGTAAGGTATGGATACCCACTCACGCTGAAGAAAATCTCTCAACCATCAAGGTGATAAATTCTCCATAAATCTTCATAGGTCTCATTTGACTAGATTGGTGAAATCCAATCTAGAGCTTCTATTGGTTTCCTACCACCTTATTTTAGTCAGGTGTTTCTTTTTGTCCATCAAATTTGTAGAGCACCCGAGTCCATGAAATGGACAAGCATGGAGCGGAGTGGGGAGCTTAAGTATTTGAATCCCTGTGAAGCAAGCAACTTACAGATACCAGATACCGAGTCTCCAATTGATTTCATCACAGAATAATGGAGTTATTCTCCATTTCTTTGGTGTGATGGGTTAATTTAGCAAAAGCACTTGTTGCCAACTGTGGAAATGATGGTAGCAAACAGAATAGTATTCCCATGAAGATGTTAATAATTACTGACACACAGTGAATGAGTTTGTTGTGGCAAGAACCTGAAGCCATGGTTCAGCTGCCTGAAAGAACTGCATTCATTAGGCTCAATTGTCTTCAATGTTTTATCTTTGAGAGGTCAGTGTTAGGACTGCTTACAAAATGTACTGCACAAATTCAACAAATTCAGGGACACGGCTGATTGACTTTTTGTAAAACCTTTCTTTTTTTAAAAAAAAAAAGAAAGTATGCCGAAATGCAATTTGTATGTTTCTTTAGCTTTCTGGAATGTAGAAAGTGATCTTAAGTCTTGAGACAACTAGGAAGTTTCTGCTAGTAGCAGAAACAGAAACATGCGTCCAGCATTTTATGAACAACTATAAACAAATCTGTAATTTAGGCTTGCTCAATTCCAAGTGTGGTCTTTCCATCCCACAAGAAGAAAATCAGTTGCCAATCATAGGTATATATTTACGGGGAGGAGGGTGAAAAGCAGCTCAGAAGTTTTGTCAAGTTATAAAGCCGCAAGTTTGAGCTTTGATACTGTCGTGTCATTTCTGCCTTTGTTTCTACCACATGTTATGACATAGGATAGATAACTTGATTAGGTGGTTATGATGCATGACCTAGGAAAATTTATTGTGGTTTGTTGAGAAGTTGCTCCGAATTTATGTCAAGATTTTCAAGTTTTCCACAGGATTGTAGACTGAGATTGAAACCAATGGGATAAAAGTTTCCATTGACTATAAAAATTCCTCATTAAAAACGGTTGTGCATTTTAAATCTAGACTTGCATGCAGATGGTCCCAGTTTCAAACCACAGCATCTCCAGGTGGGGCAGGGAGAGCATCTTGTCTGGAATCCTGAATATCAGCTGCCTGGCAGTGTAGATAGTACTAAACTGGGAGAAACAATTGTCTGATTCGATATAAGGCACCTATATATTCCACTTTCCCACTACAGTGGTACCTCGGGTTAAGTACTTAATTCATTCCGGAGGTCCATTCTTAACCTGAAACTGTTCTTAACCTGAGGTACCACTTTAGCTAATGGGGCCTCCTGCTGCTGCTGCGCCACTGGAGCACAATTTCTGTTCTCATCCTGAAGCAAAGTTCTTAACCTGAAGCACTATTTCTGGGTTAGCGGAGTCTGTAACCTGAAGTGCATGTAACCTGAGGTACCACTGTACTCTTAATACTTCCTCATGTGAACAAAAGGGTCTTTGTGACCTCTTTCCCTATTTGCATTGTTCCCTCAACAGAGTGAACATCACTCACCTGAACTCACCACTCCCCTGTTCCTTCAGCAGTTGCTCTTTAATAATTCTTGTCAAGAGCATCCTTTACCACTGAATTCTTCCCTCTAGTGCAGGGGTAGGCAACCTAAGGCCCATGGGCCACAAGCGGCCCACAGGGGTCGTTTAATCGGCCCACAAGCCGCCCGCTTGGCGAGTCCCCGTGCGCTGCGCTAAACCGACACAGCATGGCGCGGGGACTCGCTTCCGTGGCGCCAGAAATCGCGTCTGCGCAGACGCCAGAAATCACACACACAATCTGGCCCACAGAGGGATCTCCGCTGGAGTGAACCAGCCCAGGTGAGGTAAACCTTGCCGACCCCAGCCCTAGTGGATGCTGACCTTATTTCTCTCCTGTAAAGTTGCCAACCGTTTGATATCTTATCTGTCCCGTTGGTATTTTTGCCTCAGAGCTGGTACTAAGTATTTCGAGTTGTTAAATAGCACACTTGTTCCTGTTTGCCTTATGGAGCCTGGCCCACCAAGATTGTCCCTTGCTTGTTCATCTTACATTTATATTCTGCCTTTCTTTTATCACTATACCCAAGGCAGCTTATGTGTGGTTCCCAGCCAGACATGGAGCAGACCTAGATGAGCTTAGCTTCAGGAAGGTGGCGGCCTTGCACACCTTCAGACCATACCCCAGGATTTATTTATTTATCTATTTCTACCCCACTTTCCCTCCAAAGTGCTCAAGATGACATACATGGGCCCTCCCCACCCTTCGCATCTTATCCTCACAACCCTGTGAGGTGGGTTAGGCTGAGAGATTGTGACTGGCCCATCATGGCTGAGTGGGGATTTGTACCCTGGTCTGCCAGTTCTAGTCCAGCACTCCAACCGCTGCTTGCAATACAGCTTCTGCTTGTCTATTATTGGAAAAGCAAAAATCACCTTATGTCATATGACAAGCTGCTACCACTAGAGGTCTTCTAGTACTTTGGCAGACTAGACTATTGTATGTGAACATACGCAAAACAAAAACAGAAGAATCCAAGGAATCTCAAATAATTGAGGTTATTATGGTAGGCTGAGAGAGAATGATTGGCTCAAAGTTACCCAGTTGACTTAGTTGCCCAGCCCGGCCGCTGGTGTCCATTGGGGTTGATTGGGTGGAAGACAGGGAGTCCAACAGTAGATGGTGCTAGAGCCCCATGATAGGCAGAGCCAATGAATTTTCATTTGGTCCCCCCTCCCACCCAGGGGGAGGAAACTGCACCACCCCTGCACTGAATGCAAGTCATAAAGCAGGTAGGTGGGGTCTAGATGAGGGCAGACTGAAGTGGTTGGGGCAGCACCTCATTTTCCCTAATGGACCAGCCTCCGCTAGGCTTGCTCTCACCTGCCTATAATTATGCTGGTTAGGGATTTGTCTGTCGGAAATAGCGTAGCGTCCGGGCGGAATTTGTGATAATCATGAAAATGTCATAGAAAACCCGGACAACCTATGTTGAAAGCTCAACAACTTTAGTGTCTGGACTCTGGATTTTCATTTTTTGAAATATGGCAGCCCTACTTTAAGTAGGTTTGCCTATGAATGTGAACTGAACTGAATTTCTCCCCCATCCCTGTAATCCTGAATATTGTGACTGCATTGGACAGGTGGGATATACACATCTTGTTAATAATCCTGTCCTGGTTCTCTTTTTTTCCTCAACTGCTTTTATTTGCTTTAGTACTGGAACTTCTTTTATGTTGTTGTTGTTTAGTCATGTCTGACTCCTCCAGCACCAGAATTCAAAAGCATCAATTTTTTCGCGATCAGCCTTCTTTATGGTCCAGCTCTCACTTCCATATATCACTACTGGGAAAACCATAGCTTTAACTATACAGACCTTTGTTGGCAAGGTCTTTTATAGTGGAACTTCTTTTATAGTGGAAGTCATAAGCCACTATGTGGGCCCTAAAGAGCCACGACGCGAGGATTAGAACCGCAGCAAACCCACGCAGTTCCCATTCTTTAGAATACAATACACGGTCCATAGAAAGTAGCTCTCATCTGAGCAGGGTCTTGATTTACAAATGCCCTCCCTCTTTCCTGCTGCCTGTATTTACTAATGTCTCCCTTGGTGAGCTCAGGTTTTTGTTTTGCTTTTTGCTACACTAGTCGTTTAGTTCGCCTCAAGGCACAGCATGGGCTAAGGAGCTGAACAGCCAAAAAGCTGTGCTGAATTCTAGGATGGGACTAGATCAGATCACTTTTCATGCCCCATTGCAGCAGAAGTACCAGGCTGCTGTGAGCTTTCCGCATTAAAACAGTCGCCGCTTTGTGCTTGCCAGATGAGCACAAAGCCACTTGATGTTCCGCCAGCTTCGATGCCGACTCGCAGCTGTCTGCTGCAGAGCTCCCAATGGCTGGCCAGCCTCTCCAAATTTAATTGGAGAAATGTTGCACTGTGCCCAGTGGTTGCCCTGCCCTGTAGGCTTGAGCCAAGAAACACTTGGCACCCCAATTCCACCGAGCTGCAAAAGGATGCTGTCCTATTTTTTTCCTGAATGGGCCTTTCTTTTTAGGTGAAAACAAATGCTGTTTTTATTATGTATTGTATTGCTGGCACTGATTAAGCCCAGATTTTAAAATTGTACAACTGAGGCATTTTTCCGGTTGTGTCAGGGCTGCATCCAAGGCCTCTGCAACCCCTGATGCTTGTTTATTACTATTGTTGTTAATTTATTATGCCTGTATCCCACCTTCCCCCAAGGAGCCCAAGGTGGCTTACATAGTTCTCCACACACACACACACACACACACACACATTTTGTCATCACAACAACCCTTTGAGGTAGGTGAGGCTGAAAGTAAGAGCCTGGCCCAAGGTCACCCAGTGGTTGAGTAGGGATTTGAACTCTGGTCTCCCAGATCCTTGTATGACATTCTAACTGTTAGTTTCTGTTTGCCACTGTGCAGTGCTTTTGGAGTCACAGGATTCTGTTTACATTCCAGGGATTCCAGACTGTTGGAAGTCTCAAGGAAGACAGGAGACGGATGTGATGTTACTGGTTTCCTGTTCCTTTGTTGTTCAGTTGCTCTCTGCTTTCACAGAGAGAGGATGTGTTTTCTGTCTGCATAGTAAGTAATAAAGCATAGCGGTGTAGCCATAAATCTCATCACTTCCGTGTGCTGCTTTGATTCTCTGCTGAATGGGAATGTGCCCTAGCCTTATCAGAGGCTCAGGTCGTCAATCACAGCGGAGGCGATTCCAGAGGACTCGGCCAGAGGAGGATGAGTTTTATCAGTCGAGCGGAGATTCCGACACTAACCACTACGCCAACTGGCTTCCCACTCCAGGGGTGCTGCCTATGCGTGAAAGGTGAATGCTGAAACAGCTGTCTCATCATTTGGGTTCATTGCAAGACATGCTCAGCCAGCACAGGACAGAATGCAACCCAAGGGGTCTGTTCATCTATTTAGAAAAGATTTAATTCCACGAAAATATTTAACTTATAGGAATGTTGCATATTTCAATAATTTCAAGAGACCACTTTTATTTTGGCAAAATATACGCCAGCTTATTACTGATGCTTATTATGGTGCTGGAGGAGACTCTTGAGAGTCCCATGGACTGCAAGAAGATCAAACCTCTCCATTCTGAAGGAAATCAGCCCTGAGTGCTCACTGGAAGGACAGATCGTGAAGCTGAGGCTCCAATACTTTGGCCACCTCATGAGAAGAGAAGACTCCCTGGAAAAGACCCTGATGTTGGGAAAGATGGAGGGCACAAGGAGAAGGGGACGACAGAGGACAAGATGGTTGGATAGTGTTCTTGAAGCTACCAGCATGAGTTTGACCAAACTGCGGGAGGCAGTGGAAGACAGGAGTGCCTGGCATGCTCTGGTCCATGGGGTCACGAATAGTCGGACACGACTAAACGACTAAACAACAACAACATTACTGAGGATCAGTGCCTAATTATAATAGTGTGAAATATGAAAAGCTATCTTTATAGATTTCTTAAATTGCAGAATAACAAGCGTTTGCAACTAAAGTCCACTCACTCATGATTCATCATACATTTCCAGCCCCTCCTTTGCAGTTTTCACAAAATTACAGCACCATGGACTTTTCCTTATTTTTCTTGGGGTGTTTGTACACTTTCAAGGCCAGCTTCCACCACAACATGTGCAGTTAAACAAAGGTATGATCTGGTTCAAAAATTCGGATAGGGGGAATGAATCCAGATTCCCGCCCCCGTTAGGGGCGTGGAATAAGAAGGGAAGATTGAGTTTCATCCTTGTTGCCCTTTCAGTTAGGTGATAGTAATTGTCAGTGCTGAAAGTGATGACCTTCTGGTGTTGGTAGATATTCCAGGGTCAATGGTCAAGACCCAAAGAACAGAAACTAGTTCCATGAGCCCAATTTTGTTTAGAGCAGAGTAGGGAGGTTTGACTTAATTTCCTTGGACAGTAGTTCTCCTTCACCACTATGTGACAAGGTACTTTTGAAAGAGATGGTTTCAAAAGCATTGTTTGATGCAGGGTCAACTGTTGGAAGAGGGGCAAAACATCAAATTTGCTTACAAAGGGGTGAGGAACTTCCAGCCACTGAGCCAATCCAATTTTGTCCACAAGGCTATTCCCCCCAAAATCATGTCAACCTGCCAGCAGCTGGTGTGCCTGGGTGACACTAGCTGGTGGGGCAGGGTTCATTTGACCAGCTATACCTGAAGGAGCGTCTCCACCCCCATCGTTCAGCCCGGACACTGAGGTCCAGCTCCGAGGGCCTTTTGGCGGTTCCCTCACTGCGAGAAGTGAGGTTACAGGGAACCAGGCAGAGGGCCTTCTCGGTAGTGGCACCCGCCCTGTGGAACGCCCTCCCAGATGTCAAGGAAATAAAAAACTGCTTGACTTTTCAAAGACTTCTGAAGACAACCCTGTTTAGGGAAGTTTTCAATGTTTGGTGTTTTTAATATTCTGTTGGGAGTCGCCCAGAGTGGCTGGCGAGACCCAAGCCAGATGGGCAGGGTATAATTAATTAATTAATTAATTAATTAATTCCTGCCATGTGCTTCCCTGCAGGAAATGCACTGGCAAAGCAGAGCCCTGCACAGAGCAGGCTTGAACCCTCTGCTCATCAACTGGTGAGTGGAGAGTTCAATCCTGCAGGATGCTGCTTCAGTAGCATGCTTACTGCCAGGAGGTAGAGGTCTGTATCAGGGCATTCCTGGCAGAAAACATGCTGGCGAAGCAGCATCTTGATATTTTACGAGACAGTGGTATATAACTACTTTTATGCATAAATCTTCAGGAATGCACAATGCAAGGCTCATCGGCTGATTGTGGCCCCTTCCCCGATTATTTGTGGCTCCTGGAAGAATTCCAAATGCTCAGTTTTGGCAGGCTGGTTTCACCTTGTTGTGAGGAAATCTGTGCTATCACACACAGGCACATCCACAGAAAGAGAGAGGTGGCAAAGTATCTGTATCAGCCTTACATAGGATGTCCACTTAAAGGTAAAGGGACCCCTGACCATTAGGTCCAGTTGTAGCCGACTCTGGGGTTGCAGCGCTCATCTCGCTTTATTGGCCGAGGGAGCCAGCGTACAGCTTCCGGGTCATGTGGCCAGCATGACTAAGCTGCTTCTGGCAAACCAGAGCAGCGCACGGAAACGCCGTTTACCTTCCTGCCGGAGCAGTATCTACTTGCACTTTGACGTGCTTTTGAACTGCTAGGTTGGCAGGAGCAGGGACCGAGCAATGGGAGCTCACCCCGTCACGGGGATTTGAACCGCCCACCTTCTGATCAGCAAGTCCTAGGCTCTGTGGTTTAACCCACAGCGCCACCCGCATCCACTTAACCCATTGCAAAAGGGATGAGAAGAGATGAGAAACAGGCAAAGCATCACTGAAAAAGAGGACACAGCTAAAGTGTGCATATGCTAAAGTATAGGCACAAATCTGGAAAGAATGGTGATGATTTAATAAAGAGAAATCTTGCCCTTGTAAAGAAGGCTGTGACCATGTGACCTAACCCGTGTGCCTCCTCTGCCTACTGTCTAGGTGCTGACAGGCAAAAACCAGGCCTCTGCTCTCCCATTTTTTGGTTCTTCATCTTGAAAATGCCTGGGCTCCTGTTTGGGGGGTTCCCACAGGCATCTAGCTGGCCGCTGTGAGAACAGGGTATTGGACAAGATGGGCTTTTGGCCTAATCCAAAAGGGATCTTCTTGTTTTCTTATGGACTTGACAACCCATCAAATATAGGAACATCTTTTGAAAGGGTCTCAATTTTTCCGCCCAAACCTCTCACAGGTCCCATTGTTTGATTTTGGGGGACTTGTACACAAAATGCCCCAATAGTCTGTGTGCCTTGCTTGAAAAACTCTTAGTTCTGTGATCCAGCTAAGAAGCTATGCTCTATTCACTCTTTCCTGGCAACTGGGAAATCAGTTATTTCCTGTGGGCAATGTCTTTCTCCCCACCTGCAGCGTGACACAGAAACCAAGTCACCTCTTGGTCGAGATGGCCTAGGCCTACCCTTTCCGCTTCCCACTTGGAGAGGGACAGAAATGTGTGGTTTGCCTTTCCTGACTGCAAAGTACTGACAGTGACAATTTTTGTGGTTGCCATTCCTGGCAAAGTCGAGTTTCTAGGAATGTCAACCCCATGTTTTGAGGGTAAGGGTGAGCTGGCAGCAGTAAGATTATCTTACAACCCCAGCAAAAAAAAAGGGAGGGGGAGCAGAGCCAGCCTAAGCAAGAATTCAGAGAGCATAGTCAAATAAATGCAAAGAGTTTCAACATGTCCTGGAATGATAAACAGCAAATAATTGAGAAAGACCTTGAAGCCACCTATGGCTCAGTGAGCTATTTTGCACGAGGGGTGGGGGAGGTCATTGAGGTGCTTTGTGCATCCACGTCTAATCTTGCCCCTTTCTAAAATTTATTTTTTGGTATGGGTTTTTCTTTTTGTAAATCTACTAAAGTAAAAAAATAAAATAAAATAGGGATTATGGGGTTTTCTCAGGACGGTGGAGGGTGTGTGTGCTGTGTCTTCTTGGGGTAGCAGTGATAGTTCTCATCTTTCTTCTGACAGGAAGTGCTCTGCAGGGGGAAAGGGAGAAAAATGAGCAGCCAATGAGGGTCACTTTTGGGGGGGAAGTGAGGAAAGTCCCTATTTTTCATCAGAGGAATGTTGGAGGGTATTGACAATTCACTCACCAGTATGCTAGTTCACTCACTCACCAGTTCACTCACTCAGCTGCTAGTCTAGTTGGCTTCTGTACAAGGAATGGTGGTGACGCCATCTTGTTCTTGGCCTCAGGCTGGCCTGGGATAAGGAATGGAAAACCAGGCTGGGGAGAGAGGGGGAATGAAACGGGTTTGCTGGAATTCTGATCAGGAGCACTTTAAACTCCAACCTTTTGTTGCATGCCCCACAAGCACTTTCTTAAATTTCATTACAGTGGTACCTCGGGTTACATACGCTTCAGGTTACATACGCTCCAGGTTACAGACTTCGCTAACCCAGAAATAGTGCTTCAGGTTAAGATCTTTGCTTCAGGATGAGAACAGAAATCGTGCTCCAGCGGCACGGCGGCAGCAGGAGGCCCCATTAGCTAAAGTGGTGCTTCAGGTTAAGAACAGTTTCAGGTTAAGTACAGACCTCCAGAACTAATTACGTACTTAACCCGAGGTACCACTGTACAGCCAGCTGTAGCTGTATTTTAATCCAAGTGCAATATTTGTATCTGCACCTTTCAGATTAAGCGCTTCTCTTTTATTGAAACTGTCTCCAAGATGACTCTGATTTTGTTTGTTTATCTTGCTGCATTTATGCCCCATCTTTCCTCCAAGAAGCTCAAGGTGCACATGGTTCTCTTCCACCCCATTTTATCTTTATAACAACCCTGTGAGGTAGATTGGGCTGAGATACTGTGCCTCACCCATGGTTCACCTAGAGAGCTTCATTGAGGCTGAGCAGGGATTTGAACTCTGGTCTCCCGGGACGCAGGTGGTGCTGTGGTCTAAACCACAGAGCCTAGGGCTTGCCGATCAGAAGGTTGGCGGTTCGAATCCCCGCGACAGGGTGAGCTCCCTTTGTTCGGTCCCTGCTCCTGCCCACCTAGCAGTTCAAAAGCACGTCAAGTGCAAGTAGATAAATGGATATCACTCTGGCAGGAAGGTAAACGGCGTTTTTGTGCACTGCTCTGGTTCGCCAGAAGCGGCTTAGTCATGCTGGCCACATGACCCGGAAGCTATACACCGGCTCCCTCGGCCAATAAAGCGAGATGAGCGCCGCAACCCCAGAGTCGTCCGCAACTGGACCTAATGGTCAGGGGTACCTTTACCTTTACTCCCAGGTCCTATTCTGCCTCTCTTACCACTACACCACCCTGGCTTTCTCAACATTTTACGGGATGATGATATCACTCCCCCTTCTATGGCCAATGCTGTAAACACATTTTATTTTACTTGTGTAAAAATGTATGTTCTGAGTGGTGTTCCGCTTCCTCTATGCGGCATTGCAATAATATTATTTGTGTTTGTGGTTTTTGCTCCGGTTCTTATTTTCGTTTGGTGGCATTTCATGGCGGCTTGCCAATGTTGTCTCCGAAACATGAATGTGACTATTAGCCTGAGGTCACCATGAATTGAAGATGAGCCAGCCGTGCAGAAAGAAGATATCTGGGGGAGATTTTGTGCATGTTTATGTTATTATTTCCAACGTCTGGCAAAAATGCAGAGTCAGAAAATATTCCCTGCTGGGAATTTCCAATGCACAGAAAAAGACTCCAGTCTTTCTACATCCATAGGAGAGATGCCAGCCAACTCCTATGTAGCAGAACTGACTGGGTTTGACTGGGTGTCAGCTGACTCCCAGGTGGCATTGTGGTTTTTGTATACAGAGAGAGGCAAGTTCCCACACATTTGCTCCTGGTCAGATTAGGCAGCAATTTAAGAGCTGCTGTAACATGTCAGTTGGCATTAACAAGCATGGCAGGCACCACTTTCTACCTAGGGATGCGGGTAGATCAATTCTATTCACATCTGAAGGGAAACTTACCTAATTAGTAAAATGAGAGATATGTTGCGCCCCCAGCAGCATACCTATATTTTCTTGCATCAAGAAACACAAGAAGGGCCTTGCCTTCGCTGGTTTTGGAAGGAACATTTGGAAAAGTCCTGTATGCTCAGAGACTTTGCGCCTGCCCATTAGTGGAAATAGGAAGCCCCGAGAATTTATTCTTTAGATGTCCCTTTTGTGACAAGATATGCAGAGATACCATTGACCCTCAGCTGGAGAGGCTTGCTAACCTTTCGGATAAGTCTAAACTCAATTTTCTCCTCTTAGGCAAAGACCACAAGACGACCTGGATGGTAGCCAGATTCTGCGCGCAGATTTGCAGGCGCAGACCACCCCCTGAAACAAATTATTTCACTAGGAAAACAGTCAAAGTCAGCCTCCATGGTGGCAAGGCCAATTTGAATGGTAGCCCAAATTTTAGGTCTTTATGTGTATATGCGTTTATCTCAAATTTTAATCTTTAAACTGTCGTTGTACAATGTTTTAAATGCATATTTTATTCTTGTGATAGCTGTCCCAGTTGTGCTTTTCGAGCTGGTCTTTGACGGTAATAAAATTATGAAATTACCTAATTAGTACTTTCTGAAACAATAGGTGAAGCAAAGCACAACCATCCTTTGACATTCATCTGAATGGGGCAATGCAGTTCTGCAGCAAAGTAATGTCTACGAAAAGGCATAAATAAGGTGTGCATAAAAGGGCACATATTCGTGAATGTACTATAACAATTGCTTATATTGGAGAAAACTGCTTTGAAAAATAGGTGTATTGGGCTATATTTGGATTCAAGAAATTTTACCTTAAGAGAAGTTTGCATTGAAATGAATTTTCACAAACCGATGTGAAAATGTGGAGAGCTGAACTGGAAACTGGAAGAAAGGGAAACTGGAAGAAGCTGAAATTGGCACATGTGCCCACCCTTGTCTGAAGCGTAGGTGAAAAATATTCTTTCCTTCTCCTTCTGAAATATACCTGCAACACATCAAAGGACAGGAGTTTTTTAACCTCACACCAGGGCAGTGTTAAAAACTGGGAGAGAAATACTAGGAGTCAAATAGCTTCTGGTTGTGGGTGCCAAAACAGAATGTCTAGGTGCCACTGGGGGGTGGGTCAGTGACACATTTTATTTATTATTTTGATAAGCATGAATTAATATGCATTTCACATAAGGCACACATAGTTAATATCACATTTTTAGCAGAAATTGTTAATACAAGTTTAATTGGGTGTTGACAATAAAAATATTGGTACCATACTTCAGTTTTCAAAACACTCTTTATTGTTGAACTCCTTAACATGTTGTCTGTCCTTAAGATATTCTCTGAGGCTTCAAAGCACATACATTTCAGTAATCCTTCAGTGTCAGTCAGGCACAAAAAAATGGCACCCAGACTTTTGGAGATGCTTGCAAATGGAGAATCTTTAAGCGCAAAATGCGTCTGGCGCCCTGCTAATTTTGAAACCTGCTCTGGGGATACTTGAGGAATTTAATTTTTTGTAAATTGAGTTGGGAACTGACCTGACTCATGCCTCCCAGACTAATGAGTGGATTGGAATGTATTTATCCTTCAGATTTTGCACATCTCCACATTTTGCAATTTTATTTATTCCTTGGAATTTAAACAGTCCAGAGTTGTCCTCTCCTACCAGTATGAGTGGTAAGAAAAGCCCAGCATAAATAGCAGCAGAGGCAATAAGGAGACAGGTACGCATTCTATTTAAAGGCTGTGGTGTAACAGTAGACAAGCCACTGCCCCACAAAGCAGCCTTTCAGGAAGAAACGAAAACAGCTGAGGCTTGGCATTCAGCTCTTGCTCAGAGCATGACCTTGTTCCTTGACCATCCTAGCCTTCTCGACATAGGTGATGGTGTGTGACCTACATAGGCCATCTCTGCTGGGAAGCAGTGATTTTTATCAGCTTACACTTGCCACAGACCAGAGATGGCCGGCTGGTGATCCTTGAAGCCAGACTTGACCCCTGAAGCAATGATTCTGATCGATGGGATAGAGAAGTTTGTGGGCATCTTATGCGGCTTATTAAAATGAGATTATGGGACGCGGGTGCCGCTGTGGGTTAAACCACAGAGCCTAGGGCTTGCTGATCAGAAGGTCGGCGGTTCGAATCCCCGCAATGGGGTGAGCTCCCATTGCTTGGTCCCTGCTCCTGCCAACCCAGCAGTTTGAAAGCATGTCAAGTAGATAAATAGGTACTGTTAAGTTGTGGGTGAACATATCAGACGACACAGCGATTCTTCAAACAGCTCTGGTTTATTCACAGGCCAGAACAGAACTGAACTGAAGGGTTCAGCCAGCCTGCTTATATAGAGCTCCACTACAACGCAACTGTAACACTTTCTGTAACTATCCAATCACTGAATGTCACTTTCAACCCCTTATTTGCATATGTGGACCTGAGTGAAAACTATCTACAGTATCCCCCTGCTGGCCCAGGGTGAGAACTTCAGTACATAACACCTACTGCTCCAGCAGGAAGGTAAACGGCGTTTCCGTGCACTGCTCTGGTTCGCCAGAAGAGGCTTAGTTATGCTGGCCACATGACCTGGAAGCTGTACGCTGGCTCCCTTGGTCAATAAAGTGAGATGAGTGCTGCAACCCCAGAGTCGGCCACGACTGGACCTAACAGTCAGGGGTCCTTTACCTTTAAGATGAGTTTGATTAGAGCTGCTTGGCTTGCTTGATGAGGCCAGGAGGAAGTTGCCTTAATAGTTCATTGGTTTTCATTGGAAAAATAAGACATCAAGATAAACTTTTTATAAAAGAATAGAAATGATTTACTGAATATTTACAGAGAGATTGTAAACAGATAAGAATATTGGCAGGATTATTGTAATAACCAGCAGTTATTAAGTTGATTTAGATATGCAGAAGATGTTTAAAATAAATTTAAGGAACTGCAGAAAGAGGGGGAAGAAAGTCAAGTTTCGAAATGTTAAAATGACTGTAAAATTATTGAAATGTATAAACTTGAAAATCATAAATCTTTTTTTTTAAAGACAAAATGTTTGCATCTATTTTGGGATGGGACAGGTTGGTGCAATGGGGCAGCATTAAATGGCCACTCTCCCAACACACCAGGTGGGGGTGGGGTGGTGCAGGGTGGTTTTGGTTCAGTTTAAAAGTTTTGGTTTTGGTGCCATCAGTGAGTTATTTTTAGCTGTGGAAAGCCCAGTGGTGAATCACAGATAAATGACCACGTGGGAGAGGTATCTCGCACACTTCTTTTTCCCCTCAGGGGAATATTAGAAGAGGGAGTTTCAGGTTCCATTGGACTTCCTGTTGTTTGACAAGATTAGCCGAGCATGGTCTGACTTGATTCAAGATCTTACATGACTCAGGTTTCCTTGTAGTACGGCCTTATCAGTTCGCAAGAGATTAGATGTAAAGAACGCTAGGTCAGCGTAAGTGAAAACAAAATAATGGCCATGGTGCTGAACTGGGTACCTCACAAAGGTTTGGTTTTAGGTCTCAGTTAGATAGCATCTTAAAAAGCAGAGACATCACCTTGCCGACAAAGGTCCATATAGTTAAAGCTATGGTTTTCCCAGTAGTGATGTATGGAAGTGAGAGCTGTACCATAAAGAAGGCTGATCGCGAAAGAATTGATGCTTTTGAATTATGTTGCGGGAGGAGACTCTTGAGAGTCCCATGGACTGCAAGAAGATCAAACCTCTCTATTCTGAAGGAAATCAGCCCTGAGTGCTCACTGGAAGGACAGAACCTGAAGCTGAGGCTCCAATACTTTGGGCACCTCATGAGAAGAGTGGACTCTCTGGAAAATACCCTGATGTTGGGAAAGATGGAGGGCACAAGGAGAAGGGGACGACAGAGGACGAGATGGTTGGACAGTGTTCTTGAAGCTACCAGCATGAGTTTGACCAAACTGCGGGAGGTAGTGGAAAACAAGAGTGCCCGGTGTGCTCTGGTCCATGGGTTCACAAAGAGTCGGACACGACTAAACGACTAAAAAACAAGCAGTTTCTTTGGGAAGGAAATCATATTTTAATTTGTTTAAAAGATTTTTACAACATGATTTATAAAAAAAACCTATTAGGGTGGCATATAGAGTTGAAACAAAACAAAACAATGATTTAAAACAGAAAGCAGTGCAAAAGCAACAGCATAAAAACACAATGTTAAATTGAAAGCAGCGTTAAAACCAATTGGCATAACATGCTGGATGTCGGGTGAGATACAAGCACTTCTTTCCCTTGCACTAGAGTGACATCAGAACTGGTGCCAGGTGAGCCTCTCTGGGATGGGCAATCCATTAATGGGATGCCGTGGCTGAAAGGGACCTCTCTCCAGTCACCTGATTTCTTTTTTTGGGGGGGGGGAGAATCCAGAGTAGAGCCTCTGGATGAACAGAGTGTTTGGCAGGATCAGTCCAGACAAGAGGCAAGGTGAGGTGGCTGCCTCAGGCGGCAGAATCCACCAGGGCAGCAGATCCTGATGTCCATATTTCTTTCCCCCCTTGCTCCTAATGTCAATCTTCCTTTGACCCTTCTTCCCTGGCAGGAAGAGGGATGCCATTTTGATGTCCACTTTAGGTGCCAAACATATTGGGCCATCCCTGGTGTTTGGGTTAAGCTTATGCAGTAGATCATGGGTAGGCAAACTAAGGCCCAGGGGCTGGATCCGGCCCAATTGCCTTCTAAATCCGGCTTGCAGACGGTCTGGGAATCAGAGTGTTTTTACATGAGTAGAATGTGTCCTTTTCTTCAAAATGCATCTCTGGGTTATTTGTGGGGCATAGGAATTTGTTAATTTTTTCCTCCTTCAAAATATACTCCGGCCCCCCACAAGGTCTGAGGGACAGTGGACCGGCCCCCTGCTGAAAAAGTTTGCTGACCCCTGCAATAGATCATGGAGATCTAAGGCTGCATGTTTGGGAAGTGCTTGTGGTTGATCAAATTGTATGGGCAATTTTATATAGGACATGTAGCTTGATTCATCTCTTATCTGCAAGAAAACAGCACAATCTTTTTCCAGGCCTAGGCATTGTATCACATTGTTTAACAAAAAAAGCCCATGCCTGTGGTTAAGAGATTATCGTTCAAAGCCAATTGCTGACATTACAGCAAGATACTTTTGCAAGATCGAGCTTCAAGGAAAATATCTTTACTTAGGTGCATGTAGTTTTTGTGGCATTTTTAAATGTCATGTCTATTTTGACAGGGAGATTTAACTACTCAATTTCAGGCCTTTTCTCTCACCAGGTTATGAGTTGCCCACACAAATGGGAATCGTTTATTGTAAAAAATAGTTTCACAAAGCACTCTAAGAAGTTCATCATCTGTCCTAAACCCAGATTCAAACCTTCCTCTTTGCTATCTCATCACTCAACCATACACCTGGATGGGGCAAGGCAAATCCGTTCGCCTCCTAAACAGTAAAGGATTTGTTGTACCATACCGCATAGCAATAAATCACATAAAGGTAGTCGTAATCCTAATATGTCTTTCTTGGCATATATGTTCTGTCAAGAAATAGCAACAAATGAGTCAAAAAGCTAAGACATACAGAGATTTCTTCTAACCTGAAATCTGTCTCGAATTCAGCTTTGTTCTAGTATTATAAGAGGGCATCAAAACATTTCCCTTGTGCTTTGTTAATGGCAGTCATGCCAAGTTTCTCTCAGTTTTTCATTTTTCCAACCTACATTTCCGCATCAACTTGCACTATTTTTTAAAAGTCCTTATTAAAATTCACCAGCATTTTAGTGGATATTTCTCCTTATACTCTTTTAAAAATGCAATTTCCCCTAAAATGCACATTTTTGCGAGCAATTTCCCCTAACATAATGCCTTAATGTGTGTGTTTTGTGCACACCTAATGTATGCATAATGTGCCTCTTATTTGCTTGGAGAACTGCACCCCAAAATTCAAAGAGTGAATTTCAAAGGATAGCTGTTTTTCGGTTCACACCTTGTTTCAGGAACTGTGCATAAGGCCGTTTCACGTTAAAATGTGAACTGAACCGGATTTCTCCCCTATCCCAAATAACTGGAAGATTAAAGGATGTGGTTTCTTTAATCTGCAGCCATGTGTGAACTGCAGTAAAACGAAATGACCATTTTGCCATAAGCGCTTTCAAAACCAGAGCATAACAAACCACCAAAATGTGGTTTCTCTGCCATGACAGTGCATCATATTTACACCATTGCAGCACAGCACCATGTTACTCATGATTGTGTGGCTAATGTGGAGCTCAGATCTCTGCCTGGATCTTTGGCAATACATATCTGTCCCAGACTTCTTTAACCTAAGGCTGACCAGTCTTCTTCCTTTCTTCCAACTTTGCATCATGATCATCTGCTTTGAAGTATCAACTCTACTTTTTCTCTCTCTCAGCAAGACAGAGTCCTTTTCAGAAGTTCTTAGAGCAGCTGCAGGGACACTACCCCAGGGCCTAGACTAGGGGTAGGCAACCTAAGGCCCAGGGGCCAGATGCGTCCCAATCGCCTTCTCAAGCCGGCCTGCGGACAGTCCGGGAATCAGCATGTTTTTACATGAGTAGAATGTGTCCTTTTATTTAAAATGCATCTCTGGGTTATTTGTGGGGCATAGGAATTTTTTCACACACACCCCCCCCCATATAGTCTGGCCCACCACATGGTCTGAGGGACGGTGGACCGGCCCACAGCTGAAAAAGGTTGCTGACCCCTGGCCTAGACATATACAAAGAAGGTGGCTTCCATTGTATTTTCTCCAACCAGATACCAGCAATGGTTCCCCTCTTATAACCTGCATAGACTCATGGAACTGTAGACTTGGAAGGGACCTCGGGGCTCATCCAGTCCAACTCCCTGCAATGCAGGAATCTCAGCTAAAGCATCCATGACAGATGGCCACTCCAGTGGCGTAGCGTGGGGGGTGCAGGGGGGGCTGGCCGCACCGGGCGCAACATCTGGGGGGGGCGCACTCGCACTCGCAGCTCTCTGCCCCTACCTGGCTCACTCACTCTCTCTCACTGCAGTGCTGGCTGTGCGAATCCGATCCGAGCCGCTGGGTCACCGCCCACTGTGGAGGGGGTGGGTGCCAGGCGTGCGGTGCGGAGAGAGAGCGAGGGACTATCTGGGGGAGGGACAGTGCAGCGGCCGCCCAGCGCAGCGCTGAGCACGGGAGAGAACCACACCAGACCAGACCAGGCAGCAGCAAGAAGAAGCTGGCAGCGGCGGCAGGTTAGGGGTTAGGAGGCACAAATTACTTGCCTTGCCCCGGGTTAGGGGGCGCAAATTACTTGCCTTGCCCTGGGTTAGGGGGCGCAAATTACTTGCCTTGCTGACAACCCATGCTACGCCGCTGGGCCACTCAACCTTTGCTTGAAAACCTCCAAGGAAGGAGAGTCCACAACCTCCCAAGCAAGACTGTTTTACTGTTGCACAGCACTTCACATCAGAATGTTCTTTGTATTATTTAGTCAGAATCTCCTTTCTTGTAACTTGGACCCATGGATTCAGGTTCTACAACCTACTGAGGAAGTCCATTCCACTGTTGGAAAGCTCTTACTGTCAAAACATTCTTCCTGGTGTTTAGCTAGCATCACCCTTCTTGTAACTTGGAGCTATTGGTTTGAGTCCTACCCCTCTAGAGGAGCAGAAAACAAGCTTGTTTTCTCTTTCATGGGATAGCTCTTGAGATATCTGAAGATGGCTCTCATATCTCCTCCCAGTCTCCTCTTTTCCAGGCTAATCATAGCCAACTCCTTCAACTGTTCATCAATACATCATTTCTAAATGCCAGTTTCAATCAACTCAAATGTGGTACAGGTGATAGTTCTTTGTGGGAATTTTGTAATTACTTTTTGGATCTGACATTTTTCTTTTAATAACTAGCACTAATACAGCAGCTTAGGATTTCCCTCCTTTCCACCATCCTCTCATGGACCTCTTTTGGGGACAAAACATTGAGTAGTGCCCAGTGATATGTTTTCCCTCCGGAAAAATGCTCTCCTCCCCGTTCTCTCAGATATTTCCCATCAATCCAGCTGACCGCACACATGTTCCAAATACTACAGCTGCATCAATATTTTGCTTACCCAGATTTTGGGAACTTCCAGTTTTTCGTAATGTAAGATGTGTGGCTTTCTTTTTCACCCAGGGTAATGTTAACCGGTTTAGAAAGACCCAGTGTGTAGTATATGGACAAGAATTATGCTTAATGCGTACTGAAGCTCCATCTCTGAGTTCCAACAGACATGATCCAAAAAATGCATTGATATGTGGGTTGACCCCAAAACAGCCTTAGGCTAGGCTAGGCTGTTAACTAAAAAGAAAAAGACAGAACTGCATTAAAATTTCATATGATAACTTATATGTATAAATGCAAGTTTAGAAATAATGACTACAAATTAAATGGAAATGCAATAGATCTCACCATAGTAGGAAACGCAAGAAGTGGTCAACCAGCTGCCTGTGGGAAACCAAGGAGCAGAACATGAGCACAAGAGCACCCTCTCTTCCCATGGTTTTCAACACGTGGTATTCAGAAGCGGGATGTGGGTGGCATAGTGGTCTAAACCATTGAGACTCTTGGGCTTGCCGATCGGTGGTTCAAATCCGAGCTCCCATTGCTCTGTCCCAGCTACTGCCAACCTAGCAGTATGAAAGCATGCCAGTGCAAGTAGATAAGTAGGTACCTCTGTGGCGGGAATGTAAACAGTGTTTCTGTGCGCTCTGGTTTCTGTCACGGTGTCCTGTTGCACCAGAAGTGGTTTAGTCATGCTGACCACATGACCCAGAAAGCTGTCTGTGGACAAACACCGGCTCCCTCGACCTGAAAGCGAGATGAGCCCCGCAACCCCATAGTTGCCTTTGACTGGACTAAACCGTCCAGGCATCCTTTACCTTTACTTATTCATAAGCACTGCTGCCTCCTGCCATTGATGGCCTTCCCCACGAATTTGTCTAATCCTTCTTGGAGAACTTTAACTTTATACTGGACTTAAATTGGTGGGAAGACTGTCCTCTGTAAAGCAGGACACACAGCCACCCTAGCTTAGGTAAACGAGCGATATGGGCCATCTTGGTATGCAATTGTTGCAGGATTACTTGCACCAAAAGTACATGAAAATGGATGAAGAATTGCACCTGAGGCAGTTGCTGCCTCATGGGCCGGCCAGCCCTGAAAATGGTGCCGTGTCCCGGTTGTTTATTTGCGTGCAGACTTGCTCTTTGGCAATGTCTAAACAAACTGAGGCTCTTAATCTCAGGGTTGGGGGTTCGAGTCCCATGTTGGGCAAAAGATTCCTGCATTGCAGAGGGCTGGACTAGATGCCCCTCATTGTCCCTTCCAACGCTACAATTCTATGATTCATGGGGACTGCCTTGAGCAGGTTGCCTGTCTGCACTTACAGAAATAATTCCACAGCAATACCCCAAAAATGCAGTACAAAACCCACACAGAGATTGCGATCAGAGACAGGAAAATGACACTCCTTCTGAAACCTGCAGCCTGATACAACTGCTTCTCATTACCTCACGCTAAGGCGGACCCTACCAAAGGTTAATGTAGTGTAATGAATAAATATAAACACCTATGACTCAAGCAAATGTGGAGTGATAAAAGAGGGAGTGATCACAGAACCAATCTGTAAATCTCCTATATTGTCCAAATTCCTTCCCTCTGCAAACACATGGAGGGGAAATTCATGACTTGATTGGTGATTTCCCTGTATTACTGCTATACGTAATACTGAACGAAACTAAAAAATTAGCCCGTTGATTAATTCTGTTCCCCTTCCATTGTTTTTGCTCTTTTGGCATGACTTGATATAAGGCTGTTATTATCCAAAAAGTTGGTTGAAGTTTAACCACTACTGTTTCCTGTCTGACTATGGTTTTGTCAACAGTCTGGATGTATAGCGGGCAGCAAAATACTCAGTGACTAAATGGGGAATAATGGACAAAGTCCGGAAGTAATAAAAACAATCTTGATGTAATATAAACAGACCAACAGGTTCAGCCTATGATAAGAAATCTTAATTCTCAAAACAATATCATTGAACAGAAGTGACTATTTTCACTGCATTGGAAGTTTTGTATGCAAAAAAGGGCCACACACACAAACATTCAAAGTATTATGGGAAGAAGCATTAAATTTGCTTCATCTTCTGACTTATAGTCAAAACAACATTTGTACAGGTTTTTTCATTTAGCTTATTTATTAATTTCACTTTTGCATTCGTTTTCGTCGTTTAGTCGTTTAGTTGTGTCCAACTCTTCATCACCCCATGGACCAGAGCACGCCAGGCACTCCTGTCTTCCACTGCCTCCCACAGTTTGGTCAAACTCATGCTGGTAGCTTTGAGAACACTGTCCAACCATCTCGTCCTCTGTCGTCCCCTTCTCCTTGTGCCCTCCATCTTTCCCAACATCAGGGTCTTTTCCAGGGAATCTTCTCTTTTCATGAGGTGGCTAAAGTACTGGAGCCTCAGCTTCAGGATCTGTCCTTCCAGTGAGCACGCAGGGCTGATTTCCTTAAGAATGGATAGGTTTGATCTTCTTGCAGAACATGGGACTCTCAGAACATGGGACTCTCAAGAGTCTCCTCCAGCACCATAATTCAAAAGCATCAATTCTTCGGCGATCAGCCTTCTTTATGATCCAGCTCTCACTTATATACACCACTGTTCACTTTTGCATTGCTCATCCTCAAAAGGAGCACAGTTTTGTAAAAGAAAATAGCCAACACAAGGGAACTCAAACAAAATAACTTGAAGCACACACACAAGCACATGATATCTTGGAAACTTTCCCATAGCGCAGTCACAAAATCAGCCCATGCTGTTATGTATTAGCAGGCCTTAAATTTGTAATAGCTCAGGAAAGGGTCTCAGGATCCAACCCAGTCACACTGACATCTACCACCCTCTCTCCTGCCGCCTCCTGAAGGTGCTTAACCAAGGGGAGCCAAAAGTGCAATTAATAAAACAGCAAAACAAACAAATAAATTTGTAAAAATGTTATTCTGACTGTAAGGCTAAAGATAAAGGTACGTGAAGAAGTCCTTTATTTTATCTGTCTTGAATCTTCAACATTCAGCTTCATTGAAGGTCCATGAGTTCTAATGTTATGAGAGTGAAAAGGAACCTTTTCTCTACCATTTCTCTGCTTCTATCCAGTGCTAGAAGGGATGCAGGTGGCACTGTGGTCTAAACCACTGAGCCTCTTGGGCTTGCCAATTGGAAGGTTGGCAGTTCAAATCCCCGTGATGGGGTGAGCTCCCGTTGCTCTGTCCCAGCTCCTGCCAACCTAGCAGTTCGCAAGCATACCAGTGCAAGTAGATAAATAGGTACTGCTGTGGCGGGAAAGTAAACAGCATTTCTGTGCACTCTGGTTTCCATCATGGTGTCCTGTTGCGCCAGAAGTGCTTTAGTCATGCTGACCACATGACCCGGAAAGCTGTCTGTGGACAAACACCATTTCCCTCGGCCTGAAAGTGAGACGAGTGCCACAACCCCATAGTTGCCTTTGACTGGGCTTAACCATCCAGGGGTCCTTTACCTTTTACCTTTTATCCAGTGCTATTTTTCTAGAAAAAGAGGTGCCAGAACTCACCATGAACACCTCCCTTGTTCTTTATAATGGCAATGGCACCTGCCTGAGAGGTACCGGAACCGAGTTCCTGTGAATTCTGATTGAAAAAAGCCCTGCTTCTGTCAAGCCACTTTTCTCTAAACGTAAATGTCCCAAACGCTGCAACTTTTCCTGCTAGTGGGGAGCTGCTCCATCCCCTGGATCACATAGGTTGCCCTTTTCTGAAAGGTTTTCCAGCTCTACAATATACGTTTTGAGGCAAGGCCACCAGTGCTGACTGAGAGGCTAGGGGCATTTGGAGTTTATGATCACACGAGAAAATCCCCGCTCACAGATGTGGAAGTCAGAAATGTGGTGAAAAATCCTTTAAGCCAAGCTGCTGGCTCCCATATTGCTTGCAATGCAGTTGTCTATTGAAAACAAAAGGGAAGAAGGATGGTTTCAAAAGAGAGAGACAGGTCAAATAAAGTTATTGCAACATAATCAAAAATGCCCCACTCAACTCTTCCCACAGCACCTGGGAATATGCTGAGACTGTGTTTATGTGAAGTCATGGTTTCTGCACCACCAGTAGGTCAACAGATTCCTCAAACCAAGACTTCTTGGGAGGGACGTGGTGGTGGAGGAGGAGGAGAAGAGCAGGGAAAGAGTCTTGCAAGCATGTTTATTTTACAGTCACTCGGAAGTTGTAACCTGTCCCTGAGAGATGATGAATCACCAGTGCAGCTCTATAAAAGCCAAAGCACGTTATAAGCTGAACCATCAGAGCTCCCAAACCTTGGCATTCGTCATGAAGCATCCATGCGCTGCAGCGGCCTTCTTTCTCTTGTTGGGCATATCGTGGTGTTTTGCCCTGCCGATATCCATATCAGACGAAGACGACAGCGATGAATTCACAAGGGAGAAATTCGAGTTAGCAGAGGTATGGCGTAGGACCTAGAATAGGCTCGGTTCTCTCTGCCTTCTCTCTCTTGTCTTCTCTTCTATCAAAACTGAGATTCTGAGCTCTTCAGAGCAGGGGCTTGTCCTTTTTCCTTATGTGAGTCTGTAAAATTAATAAATAGCAGTGAATTAGAAGTCTAATTGGTTCTCTCTCCCCCTCTTTCTTCCCAGCGCTATCTAAAGAGGCATTACAACCTCCAGTCCAACCCGGCTGGGATACAGAGGAAGGCAGGTGATACAGTCACATCCAAACTTCGAGAAATGCAGGCGTTTTTTGGACTGGAAGTAACGGGCAAGCTCAACGAAGAGACGTACGAACTAATGCAACAGCCACGGTGCGGCGTTCCTGATATTGGGGAATACAACTTTTTCCCTCGGAAGCTGAAGTGGTCTCACACTAATATAACATACAGGTAATGACCCTGGCTCTGGGTCCAGATCCTTTTGCGCTGATGCTTGACAGTATCTTCATGTGGCACAAGCACAACACCAGTGCCATGGTATTTTTTAGAGATTTTGGTTTGGCGCACTCGTCACTGAGTGCTCTGCAGGATCTCAGGAGGTTTGCTAATTCTGATCTCATATGTGAGACTTATAGCAGGAATGGGGAACCTGTGACCTTCAAGGTGCCGGTAGACTCTGGCTCCCATCAGCCCCAGCCAGCCTGGCCCATAGTCAGGGATGATGGGAATTGTAGTCCAATGCTACCTGCAGAGCCTCAGGTTTCCTATTCCTGGATTTTAGCCTACCATCGGGCTACAGCTAATCTCCTAAACAGGATATAAACTAATGTGGAAGTAAGGCCTATTGAAATCAGCTGAGTCAGTACATAAAGGATTTATTTTTGTAATATGTTTAATAGTATGACACTTTGCAACATGGAATCACAGAAACAGAGAGGGTCGTCTGTTCTACCCCCTGCAGTCTGGGAATCCTGCCCACAGCCAACCCTGCGCGGACTTGAACCACCAACCTTCTGGTTATAGCCAGATGCACTACATTTATTTATTTTTTTACAGCAGGGTTAGGCATTTAGCATGTATTTTGTGTCATGAAGTCAACCTGGTGTGCTGTTTTAGCAGACTAACAAGATGTGGAAGAAGGTTATGTGCAATGTTTGGAAATCTCATGCCCTGTTTTACTGTCTCTAGGTCATCAAAGCCTATAAGCTTTGAGTTCATTTAATTTGCCCCACACAATTTCCTTTCAATTTCCTTTTCCAAACAGCGGGTGAGGAATCAGATAAGAGAAACACAGTACCTTTTGTGAATGAGGTGCTCAGATGTATCTAATAAAAGCAGGAACGGAAGTAAAGTTTAAAATATCTAGCTGAACCAGCAATATGTCTGGCTTTATTTTTATTTTTTAATACCCTACCTTCTTAACATAGAATGAAAGTTACACATCTAAATGCTTGCGTTCTAAAGCAAGTCGAAATAAACCTATTTTGAATTGGGCCCCTGTTTAAGTGGAATCAAAAGGCTTGAGACACTTTCATTGTGTCTCGGTCATTGTCCTTTCTTAGTACTTCCAAAAAAGAAGGTGAATTTATTATAACTCAGCGATAAAAACCACACATTCTCTAACAGGAAAGGGGCATATATCTGTATGCTTGCTATATTTGCTAATTTGGCAGTGGAGAGAGATGTGTAACATTTGAAATATTGTGATAGGGGATGCTTTTCAATATGTTTTGAGTTTGCAGAGAACCATCTGAAGGTATTTGGATTTTTTTTGTTGTGTTCCTTATAGGATTCTAAATTACACCCCTGATCTGAAAAAGTCTGAAGTCGACAGAGCATTCAGGAAAGCGTTCAAGGTCTGGTCTGACGTGACGCCACTCAACTTTACTAGAATTCGCAATGGTACTGCTGATATCATGATTTCTTTTGGAAGGAAAGGTAACTAGAGTGAAATTGCTGTCTTAATGGCTGTGTTACTTGTTTGCTTGATTTGCAATTAAGCATGCTGATAATGTTCATTTCTGTTTCAAATATTTACAGAGCATGGTGATTTCTATCCCTTTGATGGACCTTCTGGGTTATTAGCTCATGCTTTCCCTCCTGGGCCAAATTTTGGAGGAGATGCTCATTTTGATGAAGACGAGCTGTGGTCAACAGATTCCAAAGGTAACGTATGCTTTGAAGATAATTTTTATACCACTGTGTGGGTTGTGGGTTCTAAATAGCATCTGCTATTTATGTTTGACCAGTGAATTACTTAGCAAGCAGATTCTCCTGTCTTGTTTTGCTGCGTGATTCATAATGATTGAAATTAACAATTGCACAAATAGTAAATAATGACTGAACAGGTTGTTTTGAATATTGCTTCTTTTGCCATTCCTTACCCATATTGCCTGTGGCATACCTTCTTAAGCAACACAGGCACTCCGAGGCTCCCATATTAACTTGGAAGTGTGCTTCACTGAATTCAGTGGAACTTACTCCCAAGCAAAGGTACATAGGATTGCAGCCCAAGGCTAAAGGGGGCTAAAGCAGAGCTGGGAAACATGTGACTCTCCAAATATTGCAGTTGAACTACAGCTCGCATCAGCCTCAGGCAGTTTGGCCAATGCCCAGTGATTCTGGGAGTTGTAGTCCTATAACATCTGAAGGGATGCAGATTCCACAACCCTGGACTAAACGAGGGATGTGCTACCTTGCTGTTCATTTAATAACAGATGACAGATACTATTTCTGTTCTCACTGTAATGCAAAGAAAAGAGTAGTGAATGATATCAGGTGTAATATTTTAATACGTTGCAAAAGGAGGTATTAAACAAAAGAATCAGGCTACAGCAGCCTAGTGATATAAGCTTTGTAGCTTTCATAACAAGATGCACATGCTGTTTTCTAGGATATAATTTGTTTCTTGTGGCTGCCCATGAGTTTGGTCATTCGCTGGGACTTGAGCATTCCAGAGACCCAGGAGCTTTGATGTTTCCAATTTACACATACACGGGAAATAAAGGCTTATTGCTTCCAGATGATGACGTACAAGGGATCCAGATTCTATATGGTATGCCTGCATTCCCCCTCCCCCCCCCCCGTTTTCTCCTTATGTGTACATATAATTCTGCAATGGAAGTTATGAGTAATAAATTTCCCTGTTGTTTCTGTTCGCCAGCCTGATGCGGCGAGATCTGTCACCGTATGACTTTACATTGCACATATAAAATCACAATTTTCTACACGCATTCCATATATTAGATCCCATGAAATGCTGTGCACAAGTTCAGATGTTAAAATAAGGGAAGGACCATTGCTCAGTGATAGAGCTTCTGCTTTGCATATAGAAAGCCTCAGGTTCAATCCTCATTTCATGCAGGGAGAGACTGAAACCTGGCAAGCTGCTGCCAATCGGTGTGGAAAATGCTAAGCTATATGAACCAATGATCAGCTCTGTGTTACTAAATACAATCAACAGGCTTATAGTTTCCTGCATAACGCTTGTACTTTTCTGGACAGGAGCAGGAGACCACGACCCCCATCCTGATCACCCCAAAACGCCTGAGAAATGTGATGCAAACTTGACACTGGATGCTATCACAGAGCTTCGAGGAGAAATGGTGATCTTCAAGGACAGGTGCGGCCCAACCGAAATATGTGCATCCATAAACTTTTTGTCTAGCGACAGAGCAGGCCTGTGCACACCCAGTCCGATGCACTCTGCCAGCCACACACATCCTCCAACATTGCAAAGGTTGACTAGGGCCACCTTTGTAAAAACAACAAAAACAACCCAATTCTCATCTTAAGGGTCATTTATTTATTCTATTATATCCATAACTGCAGACAGTTCTGTAGGCATTGTACAAATAAAAAGAGAATAACAGCGCTGCAAGGCAACCACAGTGAGGTTAAGAGACAACATACAAGCATTATTTTTTGTTGTTGTCTGGATTTTGTTTTGTTTTCTCATTTTGATTTCTCTTCACTTTAATCCCTACTGAAAATTTTCAATAATATATATATAGAGAGAGAGAGAGAGAACGAGAACATACAAAGCCACATTCGAAAACCAGTATAATATGTTGCAGTGAATAGCATACGACTGAGTAGCCAAGCCCCAACATAAGTCCTGGGAAAAGAGGAAAGTCTGGTGATGTTGGTGCAAGGCTAGGGAGAGCATTAACACCCAAGTACTCCCATTACCCAGTGCAGAAGCCATGATGACGGTGCTCTACCTCCACTGCCAGAGAGTGTGTGCCAGTTGCTGGGGAAAACAAGTGAGGAGAGCACTGTTGCACTTAAGTCCTGCTTGGAGGCATCTCAGAGACATCTGTGGTTGACCACTGTGAGAGCAAAATGCTGAACTAGATGGGTCATTGGCCTGTTCTAGCAGGCTCTTCTTACAGGATGAATCTGGTTCTCCTGTGGTACTGAGATTTCTTAGGAGGCCCTATTCCCCTCACAGAGCTACAGTTTCCAGAATGGTTTAACAAACAATTCCTCTTCACAGGGAACAGTAGCTCCATGAGATGAGTAGGGTCTCCTAACAACCACCCTTAATAGTGCCCATGATTCTTTGGGGGTAGCCACGACTGTTTAACATTTTATGATACTACTTTAAATGTATAGTGCAGAGGGAGCCCTTATTAGTGGACTGCATTTGGCTTGGTGCCTCACAAATTACTTTGCAAAAAGGAATGTTGTGAAGACCTGCTCCAAAACACTGAAGATGAGCCTGATTAGTGAATCTGTTAACACAAGCTCTTGGGAATAGCTTCCAGGCAAGAAACATGCTTTGTACCTTGAATGATTGACTTTAGAATTATTCGTCAACTATTATATTTGTATATTATTTGTGTTGTCTGAGAAATGGCTCCAGCAAATTAATCTCTGGAGCACTTTAAGGACTATTCAATATCTTTAACTTCAGTAAAAACGCTAGCCTACCATGTTAGAACATCCCTCTTCTTATCATAGGTTCTTCTGGCGCCTACATCCTCAGATGGTTGAGGCGGATTTGGTACAAATTAAGTCGTTTTGGCCAGAAATCCCAAGCAAGATTGACGCGGCTTATGAGCATCCTACCAACGACCATGTGCTGCTTTTCAGGGGTAGGTCTTCTGCAGAAATCTCTCTGCCTGATCCTCAAGACTCTTCTCACACCACACACCCTTCCCCCCCCACCGGCCATGCCCCTTACTGCCCCTGCTTTGCACCCTCTGTGAGAGGGGCGTGGGAGTCTGTGCAGAAACAAGTCTATTTGTTGTTCTTTCCTCTGGCCCCACCCACCTCTGGCTTGGGCCTCTAGAAGTTTTCTCAGAAAGGAATGCCACCAACAAGGCTGTATAACTGTGTGGTTGTACCAATCCTACTCATCCTAACTTCATTCCAGTTAATTAAATCCTCCTCAGTCTATTTTTTACAGAAGGGGAACTGAGGGTGAGACATCAACATGCCTAAGGCTATATGACAATCACATGGTTGAATCCTAATACATTAATTCATACTTATCCACAGGGAAGAAAGTCTGGGCTTTGAATGCCTACGACATAGTAGAGGGCTACCCTAAAAAGATTTATGAACTGGGCTTTCCAAGATCTGTGAAGGGAGTCGATGCTGCTGTCCACATCAAAGACACTGGCAAGACTCTCTTTTTTGCTGGAGAAAAATACTGGAGGTATGTTGAAAATTCTTATCTTCCCCATAGTTTCTCTCTCATTCTTTCCTACTATTTCAATGATGTAAGAACGACGTTTTGCTTATAGTACCAAACAACTTTCAATGTACAATGAACGTTTCAATGTACTCATGTGTTAGACCAGGTTCCCTCCATATGTTGCTGCACTCCAGCTCCCATGAGCCCAAGCCAGCATGGTTCATAGTAAGGGATGATGGGAGTTGAAGTCCAATAGTAATTGGAGGCACCACATTGACTAGCGCTGTGGTAGACCAATGGGCAAACAGGGGAGGACCCACACTGAGGCAACTTTTTTCCACTTTCACAGCATTTCCTTACCCAACGTTTCCAAGTTTTATGTGATTTTTCACATTAGGTAAAAGCCACTTCTGAAAAACTAGCAGAGCCTAGTGGACATTTAGCACACATTTCCAGGTTATTTGCTTCTGGGGGGAAATTCGTTTGCATCCCCGTTAACCCAGAAAACTGTAGTTTTTCATTTTAATTTCACATGACAAAATTGGGGCAGTATTCCAGCATACGGTCATTTCCCAGTATTTAAAATTTAGCACGACATGGAGGTATATTGATCGCGATCCATAATGTAACAAGTAGTGCTGTGTGAAAGCAATGTCAGAACCCAGGATTGAAGCCCTAGCATTATGGTCAAGAAAACTAACACAATTATCCCCACGTAGGATTGCGCCATTAATAGTTGCATCCTTGATATTGCACATGCTAGCTAGCTTGAGCTTCTGGCATCCGCACTACGTAACATTTCTGAATAGGGCAGAACAATGTCCTTCAACCTTGGGTCCCCAGATGTTGTTTGACCACAACTCCTATCATCCCCAGCCAACTTAGCACAGGTCATGGATGGTGGGAGTTGGTCCAGCAACAACTGGGAACCCAAGGATGAAGACCCCTGGGGTTGGCCATGTGTCTCCTACCTGTTCTGGAGTGCGAGGTATTGTGGGGAAGAATTCTCTTGCAAAGCAGCACCTGCTTCAAGGAACTTCCCTCCATTTCATGTTCAATATTGTATAGAGATAGATGATGCGCCCTCAGCCATTTTCAGTATGTTTTTGTTCTAGCAAGAATTTACAGGTTTCTGCTAGAAATGCTGACCCTTTTTGTATCCTGTCTTTTTAGTTCTATGGTATCATTTATTGGTCTAGATTTTAGACTTGTTATGTTTGTGTTTTGTCGTCAGCTGCATTGAATTGGAACAGAATTGCAATGCATAATGCTATACATAAATAAAACACTTGCTTATTTACTTTATTTCCCCCTCAAATGAAGTTATGACGAACAGAACCAAGTTATGGAGAAAGGCTACCCTAGATATATTGAGGAGGATTTCCCTGGGATCGGTCACCGAGTGGATGCAGCTTATGAGAAGAATGGTATGCATTTTATTTGTGTTGACACCTGGCATTTTGGGGTGAAAAACCAGGGTCCCAGATTGGCCCGTTCCAGATGCCTGCTTTGGGAGACCCTTCAGGGGTTTTTCTGGCCCAGTGCTCCAAACCGTGCCAGACAGCTTTGTCTAGCCACCATTTTAATTTCTCTCAATATAGTGGTACCTTGGAAGTTGAAAGGAATCCATTCCAGAAGTCCATTCAACTTCCAAAATGTTCGAAAACCAAAGCACGGCTTCTGATTGGCTGCAGCCAATCAGAAACCGCAGAAGCCCCGTCGGACATTCGGCTTCCAAAAATAGTTCGCAAATTGGAACAGTCACTTCTGGGTTTGCGATGTTTGGGAGCCAAAATGTTTGAGAACTAAGTTGTTCGAAAACCAAGGCATGACTGTACTGACGCAGGGTTGCTCTGGGAGGTTGTGGAAATTAAAGTAATAGATAGTCAAAGAAACACAGGAAGCTGCCTCATGCAGAATCAGGCCATCGGTCTATCCTGCTCAGTATTGGTCAAGTTCACACTGTATACCCAGGGCCGGATTTAGGTTTGATGAGGCCCTAAGCTACTGAAGGTAATGGGGCACTTTATATGTCCAGCTGTCCTTTGTTAACAACCAATTGTCACTGTTTTTGGTGTTGAATATATGCTATATGGTAATTTATGGACCTACTAGGCACCCTATATATAGAAATGAGCAAACCAGTGATATTTTAGGGAGCAGGCTAGCAGGAGGGGCCCATTACTTACATCATAGGAGCCTACACAGCACAAAACACTGTTGCTGTATTTAGGTTTTATTTTATTTGTTTTTTATCTTATATTTTGGAAATCCAGGTGTTTTTTCCTTTAATTCTTTGGGGGGCCCCCAAGAGAGTAGGGCCCTAAGCTATAGCTTGTTTAACTTACACGTAAATCCAATGTTCCATATACCTCTAAAGTACTACAATACCACTTTAAGGACAAATGCTTTCCCCAAAATTATTCCAGGAGCTGATCTTTGTTAAAGGTGCTGAGAGTTGTGAGCAGACCCCTGTTTCCCCTCACAGAGCTACAGTGGTGCCCCGCAAGACGAATGCCTCGCAAGACGAAAAACTCGCTAGACGAAAGGGTTTTGCGTTGAGTCGTTCCTCAAGACGAATTTCCCTATGGGCTTGCTTCGCAAGACGAAACGTCTTGCGAGTTCTTGCGAGTTTGTTTCCTTTTTCTTAAAGCCGCTAAGCCGTTAATAGCCGCTAAGCCGCTAAGCCGCTAATAGCCTCTAAGCCGTTAATAGCCGCTAAGCCGCTAAGCCGCTAATAGCCGTGCTTCGCAAGACGAAAAAACCGCAAGACGAAGAGACTCGTGGAACGGATTAATTTCGTCTTGCGAGGCACCACTGTACAGTTCTCAGAGTTCCCAGTGAAGAGAGATTTAATGCTAAACCTCTCTCAGAACTGTAATCCTGTGAGGGGAACAGGGTTCTCCCAACAACTCTCAGCACCCTTAACAAACTACAGCTCCCAGAATCATTTGGGTGGCGGCAGGGGAGCCATTACACTTGGCACCCGGTTTGGGGTCTCTGAAGTTTCATCACAAAGTGTTATTGTGGACACTTAGATTGCAAACAGGCAAGAGTGGGCATAGAGCTGAATAAAACGTACATATGTTAATTTATATGTATATATTAAAATTTAGAAATAGTTATGATGACGATATCTTGCTACAGTGGGAAACACTGTCCGCAGGTGCCTTGTGAGCCTGCTCAGTCTGCAAGCCAGGTGTGCCCAGGTCTTCCTCTCCTCATCCCACATTTTACTGCCTAATAATAATAATAATTTATTATTTATACCCCACCCATCTGGCTGGGTTTCCCTAGCCACTCTGGGCGGCTTCCAACAGAATATTAAAATACAATAGTCTATTAAACATTAAATGCTTCCCTAAACAGGGCTGCCTTCAGATGTATTCTAAAAGTCTGGTAGTTGTTTTTCTCTTTGACATCTGGTGGGAGGGCGTTCCACAGGGCGGGTGCCACTACCGAGAAGGCCCTCTATTTGTGCATCTATTTGTGAGGCATGCATTGTACTAATTGGAGTTGAGTGATTTAATCTTGGACATAACAGTGGGTCTTCGTTTGTGGCTCCTGGAGTGCAGGGGAGCATTAAATAAACTTCCTATAGATGTTTGATAGTAAAGGGAAACCCTCCAAGCCCTTGCTTTCCAATGTGGGGCACATGCCCCACAGGGGGGCAATTAGATTTGGGGGGGGGGGATTAAAAAATGAGTTATTAACAGTGAATGGCCTTTTAGGCTTCCTCCATGTGAATAGGAGTTCACTTTCTGAATAATAAGAACTATATGTCACTGCGGGTGGGCATCAGGATTTTAGACATGCTTAGGTGGGGCATGGCCAAAAAAAGTGTTGATGGGCAACATCAAAGTACCTGCCTCTCTCTGTCCTAAGGGTTCCTTATCATTAAAACCAACTTGAACACAATAGCCCTTCAAACAGAGGATATCTTCAAAGAGAATTTTGTCTTCCAAACAGAACTGCTCCCTGTAAAGTGGGACAGGTGATCACCTTACAGTTGTACATGCCTGCCTCACAATGTAATCCTCAACTTGTCTGCTCATAAGTAACAACAACAACAACAACAACAATAACAACAACAACAATAATAATATTTTATTTATATCCTGCCCTCCCCAGCCGAAGCCAGGCTCAGAGCGGCTAACAACAATAAAAGTAACACAGCATTCTAAAATCAGTTCATTTTAAAATCAATTCAAAATCAAATTCATTGGGCTAGAGTTCTGTGAGGATTACCAAAGGAGGGGGTCAGACTATGCCTTGGCCAAAGGCCTGGTAGAACAGCTCTGTCCTGCAGGCCCTGCGGAAAGATGTCAAGTCCCACAGGGCCCTAGTCTCTTGTGACAGAGTGTTCCACCAGATTGGGGCCACAGCCGAAAAAGCCCTGGCTCTGGTTGAGGCCAGCCTAACCTCCCTGTGGCCTGGGACCTCCAAGGTGTTTTTGTTTGAAGACCGTAAGGTTCTCCGTGGGACATATCAGGACAATCCAAATCCAAATAAATCATATTTGATTCAGTGGGGCTTGTTGGCATCCATCTAGAGAGACAATGGAGTTTGCTTCCTAGGGTGAAGTCAATCCGAGGCTCGGAGTGCAGCCTTAATCAACAAATTGCTTTGTGAGCATGGGGTGGGGAATGCTTTTTGATTTACTGTTTTTAAAAAGAAGTAACATAAACCAAAAGAAATAGCAGCAACATGAAGCAGGAATCTTATCTGAATGGTTTCCTTCCTCTGCAGGTTACATATATTTTTTCAATGGACCGCTGCAGTTCGAATTCAACATCTGGAGTGAAAGAATTATGCGGGTCTTGACCACCACCTCCATTTTCTGGTGCTGATTGCTCTGGATCAGGTTCTGAACTGTGGGAAAAATGCCTTCCATGAAAAATTATATTGCAGATGTTTGGTTTTATATGTGTATGTGAGAGAGAGAGTGAGTAAGGTAAGGTAAGGTAAAGGTAAAGGACCCCTGGACTGTTAAGTCCAGTCAAAGGAGACTATGGGGTGTAGCACTCATATTGCTTTTCAGGCTGAGGTGAGTGGGCTCAGCTACATTGGTCAAAAACCAGTGATTTGAATGCATTATAAACAAGCAGCACCAGATGGCGCCAGAGAGCAGAAATTTTTTTCTACGCGATTTTCCATAGGTTTTTTTCCCCTTTTGTTATAACAATCTAATTTCTAACTTATTTATAGCAGGTTTTTTCCCTGTGTGTAGTTCCACCTAGTGAGTGTGAGAGTCTTTGAGTGTGTGTGTTTTAACCAGTCAGCTTGATTCTGTGAACAAGCTCTTTGCCATTCTTCCTTTGACTTTGTTTTGTGTATATGAGGCTGTATAGCACTACGTCCATCAGTCTGGAACTGAAATAAAAAATGTTTTTAAACGACAGCATTCATATCTTGTGGGACATTACAGTTCATAAAAGATGGCAGAAGAAGCAATCAATATTCAAGTTATGTGCTGATCGAAAAACTGGCCCTGTAGAATTATACTACTCGAAAACTCAACATGAACAAGCAACTTTCTGTTTGTTTATTTGTGGCATTTGCATCCTGCCCTTAAGTCAAACAGGCTCTCAAAGCGGCTTGCCAAAAATCAGTACTTAGATGGTCCCTGGACTCAAGCTTACGAAATATAAAAAGACACAGCACACAAGGAAAAGGGAATGGGCAGGAGAAGGGAAGGGCAAGCTCAGGTACACATAACAGTTCTTACAGTGCAGCTGAGGGCATCAACACTTGACTGATGCCAGTGGTGGTTCTGGGTGTCTTGCCCCGATAAAGAGTGGATCTCCACAGAGGCACCATTTCCTCCCAGTACAGATCTTGAAGCAGGCCAGGAATTGTGGGCTGCTCCTGTCATGTTGCTATTCTCTCAGGCAGCTTGTGAAAGAGACTTGGCAGCTTTCAGGATGAAGTCCTGAAATGCTATAGATGAAGGCAGAGCTTCCATCTCCAGGATGATTTTAACCCATGGTTTTAAAGACGCAGAACACAGGGATGCTACCCTGCAGAAGTGGTCCATTTTGTCAGCCTCCTGTCCATTTGGGGAGATACCTTTCAGTCATGGCTTCCAGGGCAGCATACAGATAAAACACTCACAATTCCCCTACAATTCTCAGAGTGGTTTAACAACCAATACCTCTTCAGAGGGAACTCTAGGAACTGTAGCTATGTGAGAAGAACAGGAGGTCTCCTAGCAACTCTCAGCACCCTTAACAAACTACAACTCACAGTACTGTACATTTGTGGCAGTACATTTCTTTTTGCCTTTAACCTCATGCTGTTCACGGTCAATTTCTCTTGCCCCATTCTCAGTTAGAATCTTAACCGCTGATGACATTGCGAGGACAGTTGTGGTTACAAAGGGATATTATTCTGCTAGGAGGTTTATTCCAAGGATGTGGTGTCAGAGTTTTGATGACAACATTATTTTCTCAGAGTTTAGAGAGAGAAGGTTGTGTCATAACATTTCTCCCTCCCTCCTGCTGTCCCCATATGCTCTTGAAAGGAAGAGGAGATATGTGCTTTACAAAGAAATTTGTTGGGGCAGACAATTTCACAATATAGCTTTTCATAAGCAAATCCCTTCCTCAATGTCTCAGCAACTAATGATGCCCATTTCACTGTTCCCATGCGCAGTCTTCGTTTCTCAATTTCCTTTTTCTTTTCTTTTTTTAAAATCAATTTTTATAAATCCATAACATCACAGCATCATACAATATACAATTCTAAGAAGAACTTTAGTGTAAGGACAACAATAGCTATACTGTGCATGTCAATTCATAACATGTTAAAAGAGAAAAGTCGCAAACACACAAAATCTATCCCCTTCGCAAGGACCATAAAGGGTTGTTTATCCAGGGAGGTGTCTCAGTAATAAATCTAATCCAAAAGATTTCTGGAGAAGTGGAGGTTGTATTGAACCTCTCAGACTGGCCACATAATACAAAAAGGGCCCCACATTTCTGCAAACTTTTCTCAGTTTTGAGCTCCTGGTTTGAAGTACACTTGCAGACATTCCATTCATGCCACCCAAAGGGCCTAGACTGTTCGAAGGAGTCATGTTTTAATTCCATTCATTCATTTCTACATTTATATCCTACATGACCTCCAAGGAGCTCAAGAAGGTGTCCATGATTCTCCCCCTCCCTATTTTAGCCTCACAAAAACTCTATGAGGTAGGTTACTCTAAGACAGGCATGGCCAAACTTGTCCCTCCGGCTGTTTTGGGACTACAACTCCAATCCTCCCTAGCTAACAGGACCAATGGTCAGGGATGATGGGAACTGTAGTCCCAAAACAGCTGGAGGGCCAAGTTTGGCCATGCCTGCTCTAAGAGGATGTGTCTGGCCCAAGGTTACTCTGTGAGCTTTGTGGCTGAACCCTGGTCTCCCAGCTCATAGTCTGACACTTTAACCTCTATACCACACAGTTAGCACTCATGCCCTCCCCATAACCATGACTGTCCAGACCTTTTTGCTTGGGATGGGGGAGATACCAGAAAAGCAAGGGGCAAGGTTGGATCTCACCTCCCAGCTATTAATTTTGCACTGGGCTCCATAACACACACTCAAAATGTTTGGTTTTTCTTGTAGGTGCCCGAAAACAGGACCAAAAGCCTTTGCTTCTGGCTTGTTCTGGGCTCCACCCTCTGGTCTCCTTGCTCAATAGGTTCCCAGGCTGTAGGATTTCAAGAGCTGCCTGTTCTACTCCTAACACACAAGTACAGAAAGCTCAGTTACTCCTGCTTCCTTTGCACCTGACTAAACTACCAAAGCCACCGAGTCCGCCATTGCTCTCTGCACCTTAAGTTGTGTGTATGCTTTGGGTGGGTGGGGGAGGGAGCTTGCCAGACAATTCAGGGTGGGGTTGGCAAAAGTGTCAGAGGCTGGGTGACGGCTCCCCATCTCTGTGTCAGGAGCATAGAAAGCTGCCTCATACTCAGTCCATCCAGGTCAGTATTACCTAACCTGCCAGGGGCTCTCCAGGGTTCAGACAGAGCATGCCTAATCCTACGTCGAGATTTGGGGTACGGAACCTGTGACCTTCTGCATGCAAAGCAGATGTTCTACCACTGAGCTAATGCCAGTACAGTGGTACCTCGGGTTAAGAACTTAATTCGTTCCGGAGGTCTGTTCTTAACCTGAAACTGTTCTTAACCTGAAGCACCGCTTTAGCTAATGGGGCCTCAATTTCTGTCCTCATCCTGAAGCAAATTCTTAACCTGAGATAATATTTCTGGGTTAGCGGAGTCTGTAACCTGAAGCATCTGTAACCTGAAGCGCCTGTAACCTGAGGTACCACTGTATTCCCTCCTCTCACATTTACCAGCAATCTGAGGGCAGCACACATGCACACACACACCACAATCCGACACCAAACATGTTTTGCAGGTATTGCAGGAGATGAGGATTTTAAAAAGCAGGGTTTTCCTGCATATCTCAGTGCCTCCTCCCTTCCTTAGGGGTCCCCCACCCCTTCCTCTCCTCACCCCCCCCCATTTTACTGCCTAGTGCATCTATTTGTGAGGCATGCCTTGTACTAATTGGGGTTGAGCGATTTAATCTTGGACATAACAGTGGGTCTTCGTTTGTGGCTCCTGGAGTGCAGGGGAGCATTAAATAAACCTCCTATAGATGGTTGATAGTAAAGGGAAACCCTCCAAGCCAACACTAGGTGTCACTTTCCACTTCTTATTTAACTTGCAACCGGAAGATGTGCTGTAACAACAGCCACACCATTAACAATCACAACAAGGGTAGGCAGGCATCTTCAGAAGGTCTCTCCAGACATACAATTTCTCCTTTACTGGCCTCCATTGGTGCAGCAGAGAATCCACAGCTCCACCTGCCAAACATGCAGGTGGATAGGATCCTTGTTAGTGGCAGCCCATGAAAAGTCCCCATACCGGCCATCCCAGGACAGAGGAGGGGAATCAGCCAGCCCTAGGCAGGCACAACAATTTGCCAGCTCCTGCCTTCTGCCTCAGCCGGAATGAGTGGCAAGGCTGCGGATACAGTCATGGCTCGGTCACTTGGTTAAACTCCACCAGTCCCTGGCTGGGGACTGGATCGCAGCTTTAGTCATGCATCCTGGTTTTCAAAGCCTGCTGGTTTTATCTGTATGCTATTAAAAATTACCTTATAGTTTTATGTACAGAGTTTGATTGTCTACGGGCAACATAATGGTTCAGGTTTGCACATTTGGAGTTAAGTTGCTGCAATTGCAGCAAGGCAAACTGAGCTTAATTCTTCTGCATGGTAAACACTGGTTTGCCAAGTTTTAAAACTGAACATAAGAAGAGCCTGCTGGATCAGGTCGGTGGCCCATCTGGTCCAGCAAGCAGGATTTGGGCACAAGAGCACTTTGCCCTTCTGTGTTTCTCAGCAACTGGTATTCAGATGCATTGTTCCCTCCAAGAGAATAGCCATAGCGGACAATAGCCATCAATAACTTTTTCCTCCATAAAACCTCTCCTCCATTCTTGTACCTGAGCGACTCCTGAATTTGGAGCGTAAAGGGCAATCCTATGGCAAGGTCTGCTGAGATGAGTAGCTTAGGATGCAGCAGATTTCTCTCATAGTATTATGTCTCTGTCCCTGGCTCAGCCGAAGATAAGACACCATAATTTGCTAATCCTGGTTCACCTGGGGCTCAGCCAAAACTGTAAATCCCAAACCAGGGATGTGGCAGTGGTGCAGTATGGTGAAACATGAGTGGAGGGACTTAGGCTGGAGCCTATGTCCATTCAGCTTGGCCATGTGCCCTGGCAACCCAGCGCAGAACACTGTTTTAAAGGCTTGATTTCCCTCTACCAGCTCCACTGCCGAATGGGACTTGGATCTTATGCAACTTTACCCTGTCTCAACTGACATTGGCTTGCCTTACAACAACCATAGAGTAGTTCTGGAGACAGAAGCAAAGTCCTATGTTGTATGCTGATGATTCAGTGGGTGGAGTCCTGCACAAAATCTGCCTGTTCGCCTAAGGTGAACATTCCTTTGGAGTGGCGAGTGTCCCGGGCCCTTGCTATTCTGACAATAATCCCCAAAGCAAACAAATAGGAGCCAGGCCTGTCAACTGGCATGATGTCTAGCTAGCTAGGTGAAGAGGGCAGTTGTCGGAAGCACATAGGCTATGCTTTTAAAGTAAACAAATGCATTTTGTTTTATTAATAAACCAAATAAACCAAAGATAAAGAGCATAAATAAATACTATTACAGCAGGTTGAAAGCAGCTTTGAACTTGTTGTTCCAAAATATTACAAAACTGCCTATTTTCCTATAAACCTATCAGGCTGATTTATATGAATTATTTTGTAATAAATTAGCTGAATCATAATTACTATGGACCAAATTTTCTCAATCCATTCAGCTATAGCAGGAGATATGCTCACCCGCGCAACCATTTTTAGCTATTACAATCTTTGCAGCAGTTATAAGGTTAAACACGATTGCTTGGCCATTTCCCAGAGTAACATATTTTAAATAACCAAGTAGAAATATTCTAGGTCCCATACGTATATGACATCCTAACATATTGGAGATATTAGCCTAAACAGATTTCCAGAATATTTCTACCTGAGAACAATTCTCAAAGGTAATCTGCTCAAAGGTAATCCACATCTCCAGTATTTATCCGATCCTAACATATATTAAATTCGATTTATAAGGTGTTAAATTTCATTGATAGAGGCCTTTTTGTGTGACAGTACTCACTGGTATAGAGAACTACCACTTCTTCTTTTTTGGTCTCTGGGAGCCATTTTGTGCTGCCACTTTTGCCAATGTATGAGTACCAGCATCTCGTGTGTTTTTTTTTACCTCCAAACTCACTGAACATATGGTTGTAGCCAAAGCTGGCACAATGCGACTTCTATTTCCTTTTCTCCCCCTGAACCCTCACCCTCTGAAGCTGGAGGGGAGAGGAGGGGAGAGGAACTCCCACTGTGTGCATGAAAGTCCTTTGTACCAGCAGAGCAGCAGCACTGGATATGTCTCAAGACCAGTAGCCTAGGGCAGGGACATCCAACTCCCAATAGACAGCAATCTACTCACAGTGACCTACCAATTGTCGCTGGGTGGACCAAGTGGTTTAGGTTTTTTTTAGGAAGCCAAAATTCTTGAACTTCGGGGGAAAGGCAAAGTTGTTGAGCTTTTTTAAGGAAGCCACAGTTGTTATTTCCCCCCTTTTTGGGGGGGTGGGGGAGGAGATCACTAAGGGGCCAAAGATCTAACAAGATCTACCAGGAACACCCTGTGATTTACTAGTACATCACTATCTACCTGTTGGACATGCCTGGCTTAGGGTGTATTACAAATACAGGTATCCAGCATCTTCTGGAATGTTAGCAGTGTCCTTAAAGTACCCATAGCAGGAGCTACGGGTGAGAAAAATAAACACATTGTCCTTGTCATATCAAGAGTTATGGCCATATTAAGACTGCACATGGCAACAGATTGATAATATTACGCAGCGACTTGCTCGGTTTATGAGGAAGGGATTTTGTCATGAAATCTCCTTTCATAAATCATCAAAACACACACTTAGTAAAAATTTCCTTTTTGTAACCACAGTTTCCCTCTTTCTCAGTATACAAGATAGGTTATGGGGGGAATGATACCTTGTAAGACGTTTTTGAGCCTTTGAGGAAATCAGTTATTCTTCCTCTCATGGGCATATGAGGACAAGGCATTGTGATATGCTGCAATCTGTTCCTGAGACTTTGAGGAAAGAATGTTGTCATCGACAGCTAGTTTCCTTCTAGGGTCATTCTCACAACAAAACGAAAATTTCCTTTCTTGACCACAGTTTCATCTTTCTCTCAAGAGCTTATGAGGATATGTATCGAGCGGTAATGACATAGGGACAAATTTACCACAAACAGGAATCATCTGAAGGCAGACAAATCTCCCATTGTGTTTCGCCATATTGAATCATGTTGTTGGCATCCATCTGTCTTGAGAGACAATGGAGTGTGCCTCCAGGGTTGAAGTCAAACTACTGGAGAATCACAGCGACTGCCATGGCTGCAGAGGGTCCCTTTCCTGAAACATACATGTAGTTGCCTGTGGAGAAATTCCAGTGCGCAGCCTCCAGACCACCATCACTCAACGGAGTGCTTCCCAGAAAGTCCTGCTCCGGGGGGGGACAGACGGACGTATTTCGCCCCAAATCACCCTGGTGGAATAGGAAACCATCTTTAATCAATATACACTGTCTTGAGAACAAAAAGCCACAGAGGGGTTAATATATCTGGAGGCTGGGTAGCTTTCTCAAGTTGTGAGCCACATTTTTTGTTTCCCCTTCCTTTTTTTTTTTAAAAAAAAATATATTATTTATACTTTTCAGATATATATATTTCACTGATTTTACAATCATTTTGACATTTTAAAACTTGACTTCCTTCCCCCTCTTTCTGCGGTTCCTTAAATTTATTTTTAAGATCTCCTGCATATCAAAATTCACTTAATTTATATAACTGCAGGTTATTACAATAATCCTGCCAGTGTTTCTATCTGTTTACAATTTATCTGCAAATATTCAATAAACCATTTCCATTCTTTTATAAAAAGTTTATCTTAATTTCTTATTCTTCTGGTAAGTTCTGCTGTTTCTGCATATTCCATAAGTTTTTGTATCCATTCTTCCTTTGCTGGAACAACAACTTCTTTCCATTTGGGGTGAGTAACTTTCTTGCCACTGTAGTTGCATACATGAATAAGTTTCTATGCAGTTTACGGTAGATAGTTCTGTCCCTATAATTCCCAAGAGAAAGGCTTCTGGGTGTGTGTTTTTTTACAAACTTTATTTTAAACATCTTTTTAATTTCATTGTATATCATTTCCCAGTAAGCCTTAACCTTACTACAAGACCACAACATACGATAAAAAGCACCTTCTTTCTCTTTACGTTTCCAACACTTATTGTTTCCCCTGCCTTGCTCGCTTCTGTTTGAGACCTGTCATGGCTGCCCATCTTAAGTAAAAGAAGCTGTTAAAACCTTGTCGCTGTGTCTGTCTTTCCTAGCAATAAGACAAAAGTTCTGCTCTGTGACGTACATAATACCATAGCTGTCAAGCGTTC